GTCTTTTACATCCCGTCGATTTCTCGCGTAAATCGCCTAGGGCCGGTACATAAGGAACGAATATCCGGGTCCAGCCACCATTTCTTTTCCTTTTTTCAGTCCTGTCCCAAATACGCCTCGTGCAGGTTTGATTGTAGCAAGCGAGGAAAGCTTCCGTCTTCCGCATTTCTTGCGGTTTGGTTTTCAGCTCGCCAATCCGCCGCCCTATACCAACTTATGGCATCTGTGATATTTGAATTTAAAGAAGCTCTTTTTGGCCTTTCACCTTCGTTTTAAGTTTTGTCACGGCCTTGGCCATTAGGTTTGGTGCTGCACTGCTGGCAAAATTGAGTTTGTCTTTTTACATCCCGTCGATCTCGGTAATCGTCAGGTCCGTACATAAGGAACGGGAATATCCGCGTCCAGCCACCATTTCTTTTCCTTTTTCAGGCTCTGTCCCAAATACGCCTCGTCAGGTTGATTGTAAGCGAAGCGAGAAAGCTTCGCGTCTTTCCGCATTTCTGCGTTTGGTTTTTCAGCTCTGCAATCGGCGCCCTATGACCAACGTATGGCAGTCTGTTTTATATTTGAATTTAAAAGAGCTCTTTTTTGGCCTTTTTCACCTTCGGTTTAAGTTTTGTCCACGGCCTTGGCCATTATGTGGTAGCTTGCACTGCTGGCAAAATTGATGTTTGTTTTTACCTCCCCCGTCGATTTCTCGCGTAATCGCTCTAGCGTCCGGACATAAGGAACGGAATATCCGCGCGTCCAGCCACCATTTCTTTTCCTTTTTCAGTTCCTGTCCAAATACGCCTCGATGCAGGTTGGATTGTAAGCGAAAGCGAGAACAGCTTCGTCTTCCGCATTTCTTGCGTTTGGTTTTTCAGCTCTGCAATCCGCCGCCCTATGACCAACTTTATGGCATCTGTGATATTTGAATTTAAAGAGCTCTTTTTGGCCTTTTCACCTTTTGCGTTGCCATTTCTCTTGAAGTTCTTGTAGTTGTGCGCTGACATCGCATTCTGAATTGCGCTTCATTACCTTCCACGCTTTTGATGCGCAGCGTCTGCGGGAGCGGTAAGTCGTCGCGCGTGTCTATTGCACGCCGGAAGTTCTCGAAGCTGGCGAGAACGTCATTGTTTATTTCTACAAAGTCCATGTCGCATACACTTTCGCATCAAAGGAGCTCGCGAGATGATCACGTACACGTTTTCCGTTATCTTCTGTAGCGTGCTTTAACAGGGTTGCTTTCCGTGCAGACCCTTTTTAGGTACTGCATCCTTTTACCTACTTTAACTCCGACGGGTGGATGGGGAGGATCAGGTCTGCCTTCACCTTACTATCGGCCGCGTTTGCGCCAAAATGGTGCAGGTTTCATGTTCTTTGAAATCTCTGATTTTTCTAAAATTGCAAAAATTCAAAATTTGTTGCAGTCTACAGTAACTACAGTTATGCAGTAACTTGCAGTTTGCAGTAACTACAATTATGAAGAATTTTTTTCTAAATGAAATGTGTTCATCAAAAACAAATCCTCAAATAATGTTTTGCGAAAATGAGTATTTTTTGCATACTTTTGTGTCAAATATAGACAAATTTTTAAAGTACAACGATTGTGTGACGCCAGATTTTTTTATTAAATTTTGACCACAGATAGCATAAAGAACGCTTAAGAGAACAGTGCAGGTCTCATGTTCGTTAAAATCCCTGATTTTTTGAAAATTGCAAAAATTCAAAAATGTTTGGCATCTTTTCACAACTACAATTATAAAGAAGAAACCAATTTTCTTAAGGAAGTTTATTCATCAAAAAAGATTGTCAAATAATGACATGTTCAATTTTTCAAAAATATGAGTATTTGTTGCAAAATTTGTTGTCAAAGGCAAATTTTAAATTTTATACAATTATATTCCCAGAAACAGTCCTAATTTTTTCTTTACATTTTTTCACATATGTAGCTAAGATGGCTAAAGAAAGTGGTGCTGGTCCCATTTTCGACTCTGTATTTTTGAAAATTGGAAAAATTTTGAGATGGTAAATTCGAATTTCCAACCCTTTGTTTTGGGGCAGTGTCACTCCAATGGCAATGAAATTTTCATGAGAAATGTGCAAGGAGGCTGTCGTTCCAAGTTTGAAAGAAAGATAATTTTTAATATTATTTAATCGTTAAATCTGTTTTAAATTGCCTCATTTAATTAAGTTACATTTGAAAACGAATATATTGTTTTGCTTTGCTTAAAAGGATGTGGGAATTATGAGTAATTTGTGTAAATGAGTAGTTTTAATGAGTATAAAAATATTATTTATTTATATTCTACAAAGCCAGCAAGATATACCCAATGACAGGCTTATATTTAACAAAGATCAAATCATTTAACAAAGTATTATCAAGTAAAAATAACAGCAAATAGTTACAATGTTGACAATTATATTTAATTGTTATATTTTTCTATACATTTTCATTTTGTTGCTAGTGGTATCAAGGATTCTGATTTGCAATATGTGTATTCCATGTGAATTAGCCATCATTGTTGCTTGTTGCAACGCCGCACTGATATCAGAAGGTAATAATGACGGCCGCAGTTGGTTAATATTTATTTATTTATATAACTGATCATTCGTTAGAAATATAACTAATTATTGTAAAGTAGACACATCACACAGATCACATGACAAAAATACTTACAATAAAAATACATAAAGCTAATTACATGAAGACTATAAAACACACTGCAAGACAAATATGTACCTCAGCGAGTATCAGATGATTACATATATAAGTAGTGAATGCACTCATAGAATAAATTAAATCATTGCATTAAAGATGGTCTATTCACTTATAATCAGTGAGTAAAAGAAGTGTAAGATTATTAAAAACTTTATAATATATAATTGTAACATATACCACATAAAATTTATTATATAATATATAATAAAATAAGATAAAGTAATTTATTTGTCTGCTACTGTCTGCAGCTAAAATATGCATCGCGCATCATTGGTAAATTTATGTAGAACATGAATACACTGAATTCAATGGCACAAAGCTGTTTTTATTAAAAAATATATATATTTTTCGCACTTCGTTTCTTTAAGGCTTTTTGAAATAGTAGTTAGTGTAAGACAGAAATTGTCATAAATATTATATTAACAATATCGCAAGAAAGTATGTGTAGCACTGCTGATTTTCCTTTGGGTGGCCCAGAGCACCAACTAGATAGTAGTTGGGTGTCACTGCCTGGAGTGACATGCCTGAGGTGGGGCCTGTAAACTTAGAACCATGCACGACTATGCACGGTCCATAGAGAAATTTCTGCGAAAGCGATCACCCAGATTGGCCAATGATGCCTTGATAAATTAGGGTTGATGTGCATTCTTTTATACTGTACCCTCCACATTACCCGTTTGGAAGCGGGAGTTTATTTTTGTGATTTGGCTACATTTCTGCAGCTTTATGACTTCAGCAGCTGGGGGAGGGGGGGGGTTCTTACTAACTAAATCTAACTTAATTTTAAGTTCATCCAATTTTATAGTTTATATGTAAAAACGTTAAGCATATCTAACTTGAACAGAAACATTTTTTCCCTTAATACTATTTAATGTTTTTTGCTTCTTCCTTAGTAATTTTTTTCCCCATTTCTACTCGTTTCATCATATACATAACCATTAATTCATCCCACTCACTCTCAATGCACTACACTTAAACTTACACACTGTTTGCCGTACACTGGCTTCACTCAGGGTTGGGGAGCTGGGTGCGGCAGTCTTGTATGCTCAATGAGTGCATGTAAGTGTGATTCATTGTAATATTTACATTACCGGCATACTTTGTATGTTATGTAATAGTCAAAATTAATTCATATTTTGGAAGTTGTTAATGAGATGTGTAAAATATTACAAAAATCAAAGAAAATGTTCCCAAGAAGGCAGTAATAAAGGCCAAAAAGCCTAAGGTGGCTTAAAAGTAGTGCTCCCATTGATATTACTTAGTAGAAACTATTCAACAGTCTGTCTTGATGAAAAAACCTGTAGAATGAGTGAAAATTATTTATTAATTATTGTGGAATTACAAAAAATACAAAATAAGATTTAATTTTTTAAATTATCTTTGTCTTTAGAAATTAAGGAATCTAAGTTTTTTTAAAAATTTTGTTTTTCCGTTAGACTTTATTGTACATGTATCCTGACTATTTTTACTTTAATACAAGTACTCTGAATTTTCTGTTGTTTTGAGTGTAATTACATTTGTGTGGTCCTGTTTAATAAATGTTTTAAACATATTAACATATCTTAAAGGTTCGTCTGATTGAGCAGCTGGAGCGAGCTTGCATCAGATTTGTTCACTTCAGCAAAGAAAATGAATTGCGGTCACGTGTTTTCTCTGAGAAGATGGGTTTGGAAAGTGGCTGGAATTGTCATATTTCTCTTCTAAGTGATCGAAGCAGGTAACAAGACAAGAAATACGAGTTTTTCAACCATCATATTTATAAGCAGAACATTACAAAACAAAGTTGATGAGAAACTCTTGTTTTTCCGCTTTGTAGTTTATTTTCTGGAAAGTTTTTCAGACTGCCTGACTTGATCTATCAGTGTTCTTGTTAGTTGTTTCATGTTTGTCTGTCCTTCAACTTATTACGCCCTAATTTCTTCATGTATTCCTAACACAGGAACTGATGAATGAAGGAACGTTTTGGTTGAAGTGTTAGTAATTGGTCAATGGAGATATGCTTCTAATCTCTTATTACAATTGATGTGCATGTTGATGTCATAATAAGTGTACAGTGTTCCCAAGTTCCTTTACCTGGCCTTTTGTCAGTAATTTCAACGTTTATAAATTAATTTAATCGAAAGTATGAGAAATTATTTATCTTCTTTGAGATCAAGAAAGGCAAACTTTATAAGTGTTGTCTATTTGAAATGTCTTGCAATTCACAATTTATTATATAGTCTTGCAGCATGAAACTTTAAATGTGTTTTGTAACATTTCTTCTGTACCTCTTTGTGATCAAAATAATCCTTTTTTGGATTGTTAGTGTATGCATGCATACATGTGTGCAGATGTGGAATTATCAAATGCTGTTATGTCTCTCACAAGATTTTTCTAAGCATTGGTGATATTTTGAAGCAAAGTTTTTAAGAATAGTGAATTGATAATTTTTCTGGTCTGAGGCATTTCTTTTTTGAAAATGCTTTTTTGTTATTGTATTTGGTTCTATACATCACATCATGTAGAAGGGAAAGTAAAAAAGTATGCTTCTCAGTTTTTCTTTTTATTGTAATATTTTCTGTGAAATAATTGTTTTTCAATTAAAAGCATCCCTAATTATTTTTCAATGTAATTCATGATTCTTATTGTAAATATTAGATTAATTGGATGTTTGAAAGTGAAAATACCCTTCATGGATAGCATTTTGCTAAAAACTATTTATCACACTTCTTAGTTATATCATGTTTTTAAAATCTTTTCGCTGGCAATTTAACCATGAAAGACAAATTTGATCAATTTCATATTCTCTTATGAGTAGATTTTGTTGGAAGGAAATCTTTTAAATGCTTCTTCTTAGATATGGCAATTATGTTGAAAAATAGTACAGGATGTGATTATTTTCCCCTTACAATTAATCCTTAAAAAAAGAGACATGAAAAATTTCTTCGTTTTTTTTTTTACTCATGTGTTACAAAATTAGTTGAACAAATGTTTCTTTTTGGAATTGTTTATTTAAACATGTGAAGCTATAATTTGGAGGCATTCAAAAGGAATCTTCATCCATGACCACTCAACAGATCAGACAGTGGCCATTCTGAGTCATGGTTCAACACACCTATGGGGCTGGGCCAGCATCTCTCTTCTCCCTCATCTCTTCCTAAGTGTTCCACCCATCAGCATCAGCAGGATGGCTGTGCAGAGGAGGGGGTCAGCCTGCTAAATCCACGGTATGTCTTCTCTGGACCGTTGATTTTGTTCGCTCTGATATTTTTCTTACACTTGTAGTAAAGTGAATAGGCACTTATGATTAATAAGTGCGGATGTGGATGGAAGAATGCCTTGTAGCATTAACAGCAGCAAAATTGGAACAAGTCAAAAAGTTTGAAATTTTTGTTAAATAATGTTGAGGGCATGTTTACTTGCATTGCTTGACAAGCTTTCATGTATAATATAAAAATATGAAGCAAAACAAAACTGTAAAATGAATGTTAAAGACTCGCTATTAATTGTAGTTGTTATTAATATTGTCTTGTCATCTAGGTTCAGTCCAGACTGGGAACATTTTGTTTTTAGCTTTCTCCATTTTTGGATGTTAAGGTTGTATATATACTTATGATTTCATGATAATTATTTGAAACATTTTAAAGTATTGTTATTGTTATGCTTTTTTAAAATTTATTGTGAATGAAAGTGTTTTGCATGAAATTGATTATTGCTTCTGAATGTTGCATGTGTCAAGGATGAATCTCATTAACATTTTCAGATTTATATTTTCTGACATTTAAGCATAAAGTAGAACGTTAACAAAATGGCATGATTCCAGAAACACATTTTTATGTAGAATATTATTTAACTGTTGTTACATATATTAATGTGTATATTTCATGTGTAACATTTCTATTGTGTATTTTGAAGTTGTGTTCTAAATGCTCTATTGTAATTCTGGGAGGTTTTAAAATGAATTGAATTCTATGACAAATGGCACATCATTCATTTAATGATGCTTGAACTTTACATAAAATAAAGTATACTTCCACACATGAGATGTTGAGTTTTCATAGTTTTTTTCTTTTTAAAAGATATTTTGAAGTTACAAATCTAGAAATTTAAAAGATTAGTGAATGATAATTGTTATTTCATTTTATTTCTACAAATGAATTATTTTTTTAATAATTATGTGGTAATCCTTTTTTAATGAGATTGTTGAAGTGTTTTTGTTGGATATTTAGTAGAGAATAGAAATCAAAGCAAGGGAAATTATTAAGAATAAAAGAAATAGAGAAATTTAAAAAATAAAAATAAAATGAATTTTAAAAAATATCACCATTAGTGTAAATATTAATGATGTGAGGGAGATGGCAAAAAAATAAATTTGTGTAATTTTTGAAACAACAACAAACAAAAGAATACAATGAAATGATGTTTATGTCACCTTCTACAGTATACATTTAGCACAAGAAAATTTATACCTACAAAAGTTTAATGAAAAATATGGAGCCTTGTGTGAGAAATTCTTGTTTTTCATATTTTTTAATATTGCCCAATTTCACTCAATTCCACAAAAACTACTAAAATTTTCAACAACAAAAAATGCATTAATGAAAGAATAATTGTAGAAAACAAATTTTATTTGAAGCAAAAATCTTTATCTTCAATGTTGTAATTGTAGGAAGACACTGAAAAAATTATAAACTTTTTCAATTTTTGAAAAATCAGGGATTTCAATGAAAATAAGACCTGCACCATTCTCTTAAGCATTCTTTACCCTATCTGAGAACAAAATTTAATTGAAAAATTTGGTTTCATTTTTTGAAAATTTTGATAATGTTGCCAGGCTTAATGTAAAATAACCCCCAAAATTCAAACATTGATTTTAAATTCAAGTGCCTGTGACATCAGCCAAATCTATCAATTTTGGAGAAAATTGGCTGAATGGTTTAGGTGCTTGCATTGGTGAGTGACGAACAGACCTCAATTGATATTTTGGAATAAAAATTTCTGAATTTTTGAAAATTGCAATTCCAAACGTTCAAACTTTGTTTAAAGCATCGACAAAGTTGAGATAAGCTATGTGGATTTGTAGAAGTAATGTGAATGGCATGCTAAGGAACTTTGTTCAAATCCTAGGAGAAAAAATGTTGACATTTGGAAACACTTTAGCAGGTCACTGGATAATTATAAAATTGCTTAGCCATTACAAATAATGCAAAAAAATATGTATTGTCGTAGCAAACTAGTTGTGTCAAATAACTGCCAATTTTTGTCTCAGCCTTATAATTCTTTCTTGTTACCATGTGAGTATGAAGTGTGGCAAGAAAGTAAAAAGATCTATTACTGATGTCGGTGATGAGGAAATGCAGTTGTTTTGTTTCCATTTCTGTTATCTTTGTAGATCTTTATTTCATAGACTTTGGTGTAGTTTTCTTGTTGACTTTTCTATCAATTGTTTTATTTATTTTGTTATTGTTTTTTTCCTTTTTTGTTATTTCCAGCTCAACCTTTGTTAATTCCCGAGCACTCAGTTTGTCAGCCCCAAGTGCGATTAATCTGGAAATGGCTCAAGTGAAATTTGAGGATGAGACTCATAACTGGGCTGAAGATCGGTGTGCATTAAGTCAAAGGTAATATAAAATATTTCCAAAGACAAGGTAACAAATCAACATACAATTTTCTTGGTGAGAAAAATCTATTTTTTAAGGCTCACTTGGAGGATTGGTAAGATTGAACTCAATTTTATAAACTCTTTTGTTCGAAAAAATACTTTGAAATAAATTATTTTTAATGGCATGAAGACAGTTTCTTTTGTTTTTTATTAGTTTGGGTCCAATATCTAGTTTGGGTGTTTTGCTAGTCCTCTCAAACAATATCTATGTTTCTTATTAAATATTTTCACACTCAAAAATGTTGCAGATTGATTCTTATTGTATTCCTTGCAATAACGTGATTTTCATGGTTGATTATTTTTACCTACTTTAAACTTAGCAAGATTCGATATTGATTTTTCTTGCAGAAATGATCATGTTACCAGTCAAGACAGTGTGTTGGTTCACAGTGTGGATTTAACACCACAGCAAGAAGCTTGGCGATCATTAAGTTGCCTCACGGACAGTACTGAACAAAGTGCTCCTGTTAATTTTGATTTGAGAAACAGGGTGAGTAGAAAAATTACTCTTCAGTTTTATGCAGAACATTTTTGATTTTAACTTACAATAGTGTTAATGTTGTATTGAACATTTTATGTTTTACATCAAAATATTAAAATAACATTTCCATTATCATGTATTTTATTTGAAGGCCAAACTTCCAAGGGGAATTGAGAAAATTCGACCTCATCTTGAACAAATTGACAATGTTCCACTTTTAGTGTCTTTATTTACGGATTGTACACCTTCTGTGACTCGTGAAATGTTGAAAATTATGCAAGATTATGGAGAAGTTGTTTGTGTGATGGGATCATCTGCCAATGCAGAAAATATGCCAATTTTTATGCAAGCTGATGCAAGGTATTGCCTTCATTTTCCTTTATTCAAGTTAAGATAATACTTTTGCATTTTCAATTATTATTGCTTGTTCTTTAATTCAGTTTGGCAGTAGAACCTTTGTATCCTCAAGTATGCCAGAAAGTACCAGTCTACAAACAAACTACAACACAACAAGGCCCTTCTCCAGTTGAACTCAGCAGAGCTCTAAATTCAATTGCTTGTTCCATCAGTTTTCGAAGAGAAGATCCCATATCAATATTTCACTTGATAATGGAGGTAAGAAGTTACTTCATTATGTTTTGTAATGCATAAAGGGAGAAATAAACAAAGGAAGTTAGTGTAACAAATCTAGAGGAGTTAGTGATGCTGATGATTGTATTATTCCTTAAAAGTTCCTTACACTTACAATAGCTACTTTGCAATTTATATATGGTACTTCTAATATTTCAATCATCTCTTGAAAAACTCCTCTCTACTTATTGTCAAATAGAGGGGCAACCAAAGGGGGTGAGGGAGCTCATTGGGTTTTCAGCTTTCCCGAAGTAAATGATTCATATTAAGAACCTAATTTTCTAAAGAAACAAGTCATTTGATATGTAAATTATTTACATTGTAAATATTAACTATAAGTTTACAAATATAAGCCATTGGTAATCTGAATATTAACAAGGGGCCCTGACTTAATACTGAACATCATCTTACATGAATGTAAATATTCATTTTCACAACCACTTTGGATACTTTTTAATCAATCTTTGCGCACTGGTATTTTTCCTACGTTGTGGAAAACTGATAGTGATTCTCATTCAAAAAAAAAGGCAACTAATAAGACATCCCAATCACTATCCTCAATGATATCCCAAAATTGTTTCAAAAGCTGGTTACTAAATTCTTCATGCTGAATTTCAAGAATTTGCTCTCTGAAAGGTCAGCATGGATTTAGGAGTCACATATCAACTATTATAAACCTGACAGTTTTTAGAGGCTTTATGCATTGCCAATGCATTTGAGGATGGTTACCAAGTAGATGCAATTTATACTAACTTTACTAAAGCCTTCAACAGAGTTAATCATACTATTTTTACTTGCAAATTGTCCAGGATGGACAAGGATGAATGTCTTCTGTCCTGGATAAGTTCTTACTTGACCGGTAGAACAAAGTATGTGCCTATAAATGGCTTCTGTCTAAACTTCTCATTTTGTATAAATAGCCATGTCTAGGTTCTGCTATGACTATACTCATGTCTGCAAAATGTTCAATATACTTTCATTATCCTACAGAAGAGACTATAATGACTTGTTACTTTTTCAAAGAGAATTCTTCAATCGGAAGATTTCCTACATCAACAAAATTGAAGATAGAGATTTTTCCTTCAAGTGAATGTTTTTCTCCATAGTTTTTCTTTGATTAAGGTCATGTACATTATTTTGCAAATTTTAGTAGTTTTCACTCAATATTGCGTGTAATATTTGCAATATTAAAAAACAACAAAAACAACATCTCGGAAAGGGCTCCAAATTGTTTTTTAAACTTTTGATGGGGATAGTGCTAATGTACACTATGAGATGACATAAGCAATATTTGGCCATTCTTTTGTTTTTTTGAAAATTACAATATTCTTTTGTTCTTTCAAAAATTATAAAAATGTAATTTTTTTACTAGCCTCTGATATTAATATTTACATGAGTGGCAATTTCTTCACATGATTGCATTTATGAGTACATGTTCTTTAAATAATGTCATAAAGTTTCTCGAAAAGTCAAAAGTTTTCTGTGAAAACAAGCTCAAAATTCTGCAGTCTCAAATGTCATTTTCATGCCCCCCCTCTTTTTTTGTATCCCTGATCATCTTGAGATAATAGCGATGAAATTTCTGACTAGACAGCAAAGCTCACCACAAAGAAAACTAAGGTAGACATTGTCACATTCCCAACAAATGATACCAAGCTATTTATCAAACATTGTATTCTCAGTGCATGGCAAACAGAGTGGCAGAACTCAGATTTTAAACTCGTGAGAAACAAGGACTCCATAAAGTCTTGGTCTTCCTCATCTCGTGGATCTAGGTGCAAGGAAATAATTCTGACATACATCCAGATCTGTCACTGCCATTTTTTCCATTCTCTGCGGCAACCCACCCCCTACTTGCGATAGTTGTGAAACGGATTACGAGAGACTGACATTTACAGAATTATCTGAGATGCCAATTATTTGGTTTTTAATTGGAGATTTTAAGGTGTTTACCTGGTTCTTTTCTGGCAATCCCCTTTTTTAAATAATTGATCACATTTATTTTCTGTTTTACTCTCATTTTACTTTGCATTAAAAAAATGTATGTCTGGCACTGCTATTGTGAGTATGGATCATAATTTGATCCGAGTTCCTGTACACCTTAACTGTTGAAGCACCCTTAAACCTCATTGTCTTCATCATCATCATCATCAAATATGGCTCCAAATTGTTCCTTCAACCTTTTCGTATGGATAGTACTAATTGCACTATTTAAGATTTCCTATTACTAATTTCCATGTACTCTTCTTTTTTCCCCCAAAAAATATACAAATTATTTTTTATTTTAAACATCTCTCATGTTGTTAATATGCACATTTCCAACAGTTTGTGAGTGGATTGTACTTGTAAGTGGAAGTGTTCTGAATGGCTCCAAATTAAGTTTATTGAAAACTCAAACAATTAGTTTGAAAAAGAACTTCAAATTTTGCAATAACAGTCATGCTTAAATGTCATTTTCTTAGAAACAGACTGCAATTTTTCAATAAAAATTGCCATTTTGAACAAGGTTTTACTGTTCTTTAATATTCTTAAGGTAATATTTTGGTCCTACTATTCCAGAACCGACAAATTGACAAAATTTCAATAAAATGTATTTTGGGCGACAATAGATGGTAGCCAGCAAGAGTGTGATGCAAGGCAGAATAGATAGCCCAGACCAAAGAAAATAGAAAACTAATTTGAGAAAGTCCGTGCCATTCTGTTGCACCACTAGTTACTTTCTGCTACGGTGCGGAAAATCGATTACTAGATTGCCTACCTACCTCCTTGCCTCCCTTGATACCAAAAAGGTGTTTTTGTCTTCAAAACGTCCATTCATCTGTCCATGAACATCACTAGTATCTAAACCATACGAAGATTTTTTTCAAAAATGGATATTTCCTGGTCGATGTGGCTGGATTCGACGCGCTTGGATTTTGCAAAACATTCTTTGAAATTAGTGGGTACAAAAAGCTTGGAACATTTCAAAATTTTCTGAAAAATGGCTCCAAAGTTTTTCTTTAAATTTCTTATAAGAATATAGTAAAGTACTCTTATAAAGGTGGATAGGCTTGATTTTCACTGTTAACTCTAGTTTCAAAAATTTTGAAAGGGTAATTTTTTTCGGCATCTTCCTACAACCACAAAATTGAAGTTAGAGATATTTCCATCAAATGAAATTTGTTGTTCTTAATTAGTTCATTCATTACAGTCATGTACATTTTTTAAAAACATTTTAGTATTTTTCAGGCTATATTGCCTGCAATATGTGCAAATAAAAAAAAACACAACAAAAAAATAAAAACAAAAAAAGAACAAGATTTTCTCAAATACGGCTCCAAATTTTTCTTCAAACTTCAGGTAGAGATTGTGCTAAACGTACTCTATGAGATTGAATAAGTGGTTATTGCTCTATTCTTATGTTTTTTCAAAAATTAGGAAAATTATATTTTTTATTTGTCTCCCATGTCGTTAATATTTACATTAAGGGCAATTTGTTCATATTTCATTTATGAGTACATGTGCTTTAAATGGTGTAATGTAATGTTTCTGAAAATTTTCAATAATTTTCTTTGAAAATTAGCTCAAAATTCTTTATTTTCAGAAACGCTTTAACTCCATTTTGTCAAAAATTGCTCCAATTTTTTTTCTTGAAATTTTTCATACAGATAGTGCTCTCTGTACGTTTGCATGTTTAAGATGAAATAAAAGTAATTTTGCTGTAATCTTTTCTTTTTTTTCCCCTAAAAATTACGCAAATGAAATTTTTTTAAATCTCTTTGGTGCCTTTAATATGTACTTTTCTAACAATTTGTATACATTGTTGCATTTGTGAATAGAGGTGCTTTAAGTGACTTTAATGAAGTTTTTCCAAAAACTCAATAAATTTCTGTGGAAAAGAGTTTCAAATTTCGCATTTACACTAGAGCTTTAACTTAAATTTTTTTCACTTGAACTTTCAAATTAAAATTTTCAAAAATGTTTCTCCATCATCAAAATTTCTACCATTCTACCAATGTCTTTAATATTATTAGGACCATACGTTTCCCAATGAATAATGAAGTCCTTTCTTTCTTTATTAATTTCTACATCAACCTTAATCAGATTCTCTATTTTCCTTGTATTAATTTTTGGATCATGACAGTTTTGTTACCTTAATCTGTGAATATATTATAATTGTTCTATTTGGCCCTTTAATTTTTAACAGACCTTTATTTTAACTATTGTAGTGTTTACATAATAATACAATGTATCATTCTGTATTAGGTTTTATTGTGACAATTTTAAGGAACTATTTGTCCTCATCATTAGGCTATAAACATAATATTAAAGAATATATTATAAAGATTTTCTCGTATTCAAAATGAGATGAATACAAGATAATCTTAATATTATTTTTGGATTGAAAACAAGTGTTTTGTGTGTAAACTAATACTGTACTCTCAGGTTTCATTGAATTTTCAGTGTCGACATCATATGCAGTGTGTTCGAAACTGTATGCAGTTTTGGATGTGTTGTGCTGGTGCTGTGAGTGGAATTCAAGTTTTAAATATATCACTAATGTTGCCACCAATATTTTCATTTGGTAAGATCTTTTTTGTTCTTAAGAAATTTCTTCATTGTTCTTGTGTCTTTAATTGCCTACTATCAATAATTCATCATAGACCACTTTTGATTTCATTCAAGAAACCTTTATTTTGATAACAGATAATAAAGCAGTATATTCAAAAAATAACAAAAGGTTAAATGTATTTTGCTGCTATTAGAGTGTAAGTGTTTACAGCTGTTAAATATGCTTGCTCTCTCTACTTTTTGTCTCTTTCTAGGGCAAGTTTTGTGGTTAGTATGTGTGATTATCCCAATTTTATCTCTTTCTCTGGTTGGAAAACCAACTGATCCTCAAGTTATGCAAAAAGCTACTGGCAAGAATCAAAATATTGTTAATACAGAGGTAAGTATTTTTGTTGCAGTATCTAATGTATTCAGGTTTGTTATACTCTTCTTTGCAAAGCGAAGCATAAAGGAGAGTGTGTTATTTTGAATTTCATTTTCAGGTTATCACGTTCTTAATGTGGTGTTATGGAGTGAAATTTATGATTAGTATATGCCTTACACTTCTTTGCTATGGCCTGGTTCTTTCTAACTTCTGTACAAATATAATTTTGGTGACAAATACTACCAGGTCAATGGTATATCCAATGCCAGATGCAATGTGGGGCGGATGGCAGGATTTTCAGTATTGTTGGATTGTTGCTCAGCACATTGCCATTACCATGGTAGTTCTTCATTTTGGTAAGACAAACTTTTTCACATTGAAATTTCAATGTCTTTTAATATTCAATATGACTCATCGTCTTGCACAAAATGGTGGTCTATTTCATAGTTTTCTTTGAAATCAGTATTGGTGAGGAGCAAATAGTTTAGTTGAAGTGTCATTTTTAACTTAAAAAAATAAGTTATGATCATGAAGGGACATGTGGCTTCATTTCAATTATTGTATTAATTTGTGACAGCAATTTTTTTATAAATGTATTTCTTCTAATTGATTTTAGTATCAGTTCTTTAAATATTATTTGAAGCATAGCAAGATAATTAAAAGTAATGGTGCAAAGCAATAAATAAGAATTATAAAGAAATAAAATAAGAATAGTTGTAAATTAGACATCCACCTGCGCTGGAAGTCAAACTCCTGCTCCATGAAGTCATGGAAGTTAAGCACCTGAAGACACTGCGGGTCCCTGGATGGGTGACCGTCTGGGAATCCCAGATACTAACGGCACTGAGCCCCTTGCTGTTAGGGATACAAGACAATGACGAGATTTGACTTAATGTTTGATTGACAATGTTCAAGGAGAATTACTCCATTTTCAACACCAAAAAGGCTTGGAATGTTTTTATGCAAGACATGTAAAAACACAAGATGTATTAAGAGACTTGTCAAAGAGATTTTTTATATTTCAATTTGTTTTGCAGTTGCCCTGTCCATTAGTTTTGTTCATCGAGACCAATCTATTTGGACAAGAAGTCCTCATGACAATAAAGTGTGGCTTTTTGCAATCTTTTCAGTGTAAGTATTTTTTCTCTGAAAGTGGGTCTTGTTATTTGGATGAAATGATTACTTCTTCTTAGTTTTCTTAAGAACTAAAATAATAAAGAAATAATATTATACTGTTCAATTTTAATAGTATTGGTGAGATAAAACTCTTATTAGTACACAACTAATTACAGTTAAATTAACATGTAACAAAACTTCTCTGGGGAAGAAGCAATTTGAGGGGAGGTAGAGGGTGCTGAAATAATACATTTTGTTAAGATACAAAAACTACAACCTTGGCATGCAACTACACTGTCGATGAATTTCACCACGTGGTGGTTATGAACCCTGATGCCTCTTTCACTTCCTCTCATGGGACTACATGGAATGAATGAGACCTCCCTTGCTTTGCTGTACTGGACGTAAATGTTCACATGTTCATCGCTAAGTAACTAGAAAGAATGCTTGTTGGAAATGCAATATTTGTATTGTGTTAACAATAAACTGCAGCTAAATAAGCTGCAACTTTCAGCTGCAGAGCTATATGGTGCCTTGCAGGATCATTAACTCTTGCAGGCCAGGCCAGACAGGACCATTAACTCTTGCAGGAGCTTCAGAGTGATCTTTGTGTGGAGGCCCTTACAAAACAATTCACTCCTTAATTATTCAATTCTGATATTTGCATAAGGATGGTAAAAAATCTAAATTTGATTTTCTACTTAGGCAGTGATGTCAAATAATATTTGTTAAGATCAGGGTTTGAAGAGTCTGGCACTTTTCTAGAAAATTGTATGCAATAATTAATTGTGTACATTTGAGCAAAAAAAAAATCTGGCAGTGATAGAAGGCAGCTGTTAAGACTGAAAAGACCTGGAATGCAGATAAAACAAATTTGAAAAATATTATGAGAAAGTCTGTGCCATTCTGTTCCACCACTAGTTTTAATCATTTATCTTAAAGTAAACAAGTAATTAAGATTATATAGTGTCTAGAAATAATAGTGCAGACAAACTACACCAGATGTAAACAAAATGTATTATTTGAAGACTTGAAATAAAAAAGTATGTAAGTTCAATTTCTGTTAAATTAATGTTTTTACTAGAATCAAGCCCTATGACATAAATAGGAACCAAACTCCAGACGCATTTTTTGATAGTGTTATGAAGTGATTTGTGCCAGAAGTTGTATGTGGCAATAGGTTTATTGTATATATAAAAGAATTTTTCTCAAAACTATGAAAATGGCACTTACATTCTTTTTTATTTCAAGCCTGTTTACATCTTTAACCAATATCATAAACATATGAATGTCCTGCCTTTCACTCCATTCTTTTATTTTTATTCTTAGCAATTTGTACTTTCTTGTACATGTACATATATGCGAAGTAATATACATAGTGCTGTGAGTGTACATATATACTTAGTACAGAGAAAATTACGTAATGCTGTAAAAAATTGTTTTCAAGATTTCAATGGGAGTACACATTTTGGGGTCCCCTCATACTAATCCCCCCCCCTTTTTTTTTTCTTCTTCTTCCAAACATCAATCCTTTCGTCATTTGTGAACAATACTAGTGCCTGAACCATATGTAGGAGTTTTTTCTAACAGAATAAACCTCTGAAGATCTGGTCTCACTCAAAGCTCTGCGATTTTGAAAAACATTCATTAATTTTTTAGGGTACTTTAATTGAAGCGTCTGGGACATTTTCAAAAATTTCTCAAATGGCTTCAAATTTTTCTTTAAATTTCTTATAAGAATAAAGTGAAATGCACTTATAATGGCAACATAGATCCAATTTTCAGTGTTAACTCTGAATTTTTGAAAATTGCAAAAGTGTGAATTTTTTTTTATCACCTTCCTACAACTATAATATTGAAAATAAGAGATTTTTCCTGCAAGTAAAATTATGTTCTTTGGACGACAATAGCTGTCATCTGGGAAGAGGATGGTACGAGACTGAAAATCAAGCCCGACCAAAGAAATTAGAAACCTTACAAGTACGAGAAATTTTGTGCCATTTGTAGCACCACTAGCTTAGTATTGCTAATAAAATTGCAACCCAAAATCCAGTCTCTGCTCCTTTCACAACTAGCAAATGGAGGGCTCATCAACATGTGCATTGTGAAGCTACATATATGTCCAAAAGTAAAAATAGAGAATTATATCTCAGCATTTGCTCAGTAGATGAGAGAAACTGGATGAAAATCTAGATCGCGATGATGCTCATAGACCCAGAAGCTACTTGTATGCAAATTTAGTATTTTTAATGTCTTACATAATGTTACATGCATTTTAGTCTTACATAAATGATATGACCTCGTGGATTAGAAATGGAAGAACAGTTGTGTTTGCTGATGATAAGAATGTTCTCTGCAAAAATAAATATTAAAAAAGTATGATTTTATATGTTTTAAATTGGTTTCATCATGGTTTGCTACAAAGAAGCAAGGAGGGAATTCACAGCTTTGGATTGATCACTGCCCCTTGCACAGATGCATGTGTACCATGATGCAATGTCATTGCATTGTGAGGTGTACTGTGGTAAGACATGCACTGAAGGCATCGACCTTGTTGCCTCAAACATCTTGCCACAAATTTGCTACAAATCATCTCTCTGTGTAAAACTTTTGAGTGCCTGTTAGGAAAATGAAAGGTACAACTTGTCTGAGAGAGGATGATTATTACCATTCAGATTGTTTATTGTTAAAATTGTAATAGTGTTCACCTGGTTTTCTGCCTGTTTTTTTATTTTACCATTAGACATTATTGTACACTCTATTTATATTCTATACATGATGTACTTCGTATTTTAAAAACTTTTTAGTTTACCACTGTGGCAGTGGATTTATGTTCATATAATTTTATATGGCTACAACAGATACTACCTTAGATATTGAAGTACCCTTAAACTAGAATAAAACTAATTCATCTTCATTTCCTTGTTGAGTCACAGGGAGAGCATCATAGTTTCGTTTTTTTAGCAAAAAAATACTGACTTAAATTTTACTTCCTCTCAATGTTTGAAGACAAGTTTTGTTACATACAGTATAACATTATTTTGACAATAGTGCTTCTAATTTATTTGCTTTTTCGTAGACTTTGCTTGCAGTGCATATATTCCACAATAGTTCTGACTGTGACAGAAGCAGATAGAATTGAACTAGGAATTGAACATATACCATGGTTAGTGCTACTTCTAATTTTGGTCTCTCCTTTAATAATTTTCTTTATTAGTGAATTGGTGAAGAAAGAAGAGATCAAGTGAGTCAAATTTTTATTTTGCATTAGTCAGAAAACTGTAAGATACTTATGTAATTTATTATTAGTTTCTAATATTTTATTGTTTTATAGAGTCAACGTAAGATATCAGAAAAGAGCCCGTTTAGAATTTGATACAAAGTTAGGCATGAATTCACCTTTCTAACATCACAATGGAAACTAGTCTTGGAATGTAAATATTATGGATGAACAAATTTGGTGAATGAACTAATGATAAAATGATACTTTGTTCCTTCATGTGGTGTTAATTATGAAAATTATCACTGATATGATCTGACATTCCATACATGGAGCTTACTCAAACTTCCTTTGAAAGGTATACCTTCCACAATTTGAATGTTCTTCATATATTGAATGTTGGTGAGTGTTAACAATAGTGAAACATTCAGAGCAGTGTATAATGCAGCGAGGTCACTTTTTTCTAATATATATGACATCTCTTCCATAGGCTTTTTGTAGGCTAGTCATCAAAATGTGAGAGCCCAAGAATTCACGGATATGACTATTAAATCAGTTCCCTCAGTCTTTCTTCCCACCTCTCTTGTACCTTGAGGATGAAGAACTATAAACTCGACAAACAATTGAAAGAGTATTTTTTGAAGCAAGACAACCTTAGTGTGTATTTCGCGGTCCAAAAGGAATATTCTTTGAGACATTACTGTTCTACATTAAAGTTGTCTAAAATGAATTACTGTGTTTGAGGGGCATGGGAAAAAGATGATAACTCACAACTAGCTGAAGTCTAAAAAAGTCATTAAAATATTTAATATTTCCAGCAAAATGCAGAGATGTGCCATATAAATGTGAATAAATCTGCAATACAGTGAACAATCTGGAAGCTTATTTTTCTTATTTCTTGTTTTGCATAATGTGGCAAAATAATATATTTTTACAAAAATATGGTTTAGCAACTTTCCCCCTATATCTGTCATTTGTCATAAAAAATGAAAACGTGAACAAATTAACATTTTTCTACCATTTCCATATTTTGACTTTAATAATAAAATGGTGGTGTTCTTATTACTAGCATTTGTTGCGTGTAATGAAAAAACTGACTTTCTTTTGATAATGAAATATTGTACATTATAGTTTAAACTCGTGTAGGCAAGATAAGTTATGTTTCTTTTAAGGCTTGAATTTTCCTTAAATTCATTCTAATGAGGTAATTTAGCATCAAATGCAAGAATACAGTTGAACTTGTGGAGACTGTCAAAGCTTAGGACATATTCATGAATTGAGGTAGCCAGGTTTTATGGAAGCAATGCATTTCCTATGAAGGTATAATTTTAGTAGTCATATTTTGATTAATTTCTTACTTCTTTAAAAGATTTTGAATATTACTAATGAAACAAGTATTATAACTTTAAATTCAGAAGACAGATTCGATTTTGCCTTATTTGACTTAAAGATATTTTATCATGTGTTACATTATCATGTACAATAATGTAATTATTGTGAAAGAAATGTATTTTTGATGGCCTTTGTTACATTAGTTCCGTGAACTCATAACTTTGTGATATACATGTTTATAATTATACACTGTTTTTACCCTGTTGTTGATTTTCTTTTATATTTTATACCAAGAATCTGAAAATTTGACTCCTAATTATCATGTTCATTATTGAGTAAATAAAACTTAAACCTCTAAAGATGACATCAGAATAAAATTGAAAGCCAAAGGTTTAGTAGAAAAGATAGAACAGTTTTAAAGGAGATAGAAAGATCATTTACGGAAAATGAACGACAACAAATGTCAAAATTAACTTGGAAGTAAAAATGGGGGGGTAGAGGCAGACCATTAAAGAGGTGGCAGCAGAAGGAATGCTTGGAAGACTAATAATCTACCAAGAATACTGTAATAAACCAATAGAAATAGGCTGTAAAGCTTAATTTCTGGGCAGTTTATGATGATAATGGACTTAAAACTCATAAAGGTTAAGGAAGTTTGGAATTATTTGATTTGTTACAACATGTCAAAAAATTTAGTCTACCCTAATTTGCTTTATATTACTTCCTTGCTTAATAATAATTTTAACCCTTTTCTTCTACAATAAAATAAATACATATCACAAAATTTTCTAATTAAATCTATTAGACATTATTTTGTGATTGATTCTGAAATTTATTTCATACTCCTGGACCCAGGAGGATTTTTCAATAATTCATTAAAAAAAAATTCTTAAATGTCCCAAAGTTTCTATCAAACAAGTTTAAACTAACATAATTGCAATAAATGCAAATAAACTTATTGAAATCTATGAACAAAACTTCAGCACCCTTCCCACATCAATAATGTAACAAAATTCCTACTGGTCAGACAAATAATTAAACCTCTGTACTCTTTGAGGTTTGGAAGTGTAATGTCAAAGCGTTCCATCTACTTAATTGTTCATACATATTTAATCAATATATCTTACATCATGAGAGGGTTAACAGATGAAACTTTTCATTTGCACTAATATGATAAGATATCCATAAAAGTGCATTTGATAAAGACTGATTAATATTCCTCCTTCGCTGATTGTCTAACATCAGAACCTACAGAAAATTATTAAACCTCTCTACTTTTCGAGGTTTGGAAGTGTAATGTCTAAACGTTTTCTTAACAACTTGATTGTTAAAATATATTTAATCAATATTTCTCATATCATGACAGGATAAGGGATGCAATTTTTGATTTGCATGAATGTTGTTATATTTTTATTTTGATGTTCGTGTCAAACAAATTAAAATTTAAAATAATTCACAATCCAAATAGAAACTTCCAATAATATTTTATAACTTTTTGTGATAATCTATAATCATAATTTTTTGTGAATTCATAATATTCATGTAATATTGTCAAATTGTAGTTAATTGCAAATGCACAGCTCTTGAAGTATACAAAATTTACACTAGATTTTTGTAAAAATTTCAACTAGACAAATTTGAACCATCACAAATGTCTGAATGGTCTTTAAACAGCACATTTATTAGGATAAATTTACCAATCGTTGGCTGCTTTTTCAATTTTTACTCTCTCATATACATATTGATACACAGAGTAATGTACGTAGTGTAGAGAAAGTTATGTAGCACTGTGAAAAATCAATTTCAAGATTTCAACGGAATTTTTTTTCTTCTTCGCCTGTTTCTGAACATCACTATCGCCTAAATCACACATAGGGTTTTTTCACAATGCAGAAACTCATGTGCATCTGACTTTACTCGAAGCTTTGAGATTTTGAAAATCATTCTTTAAAAATTTGGGGGTATTTTACATGACATCCCTGGGACATTTTCAAAATATTCTTACTTTTTTTTTATATTACTTTTCCGAATAGACTAAAATACACTTATAAAAGTGGCATAGATTAGATTTTCAGTGTTTACTCTGAATTTTTGAAAATTTCAAAAGTTTAAATTTTTGTTTTCCTACAGATACAGAATTGAAGATGGAGATTTTTCCTTCAAATTAAATTTTTTGCCCATAGTTAGTTCTTTCATTACAGCCATGTACATTGTTTTGAAAATTTAGAAGCTTTTGCGCAATATGTGCAATTTTATAAAATTGCAAAAACATATTTTTTTCGAAAATGGCTTCAAGTTTTACTTTAAACTTTTGGTAGGGATAGTGCTAAATGCATTCTATAAGATGACATAAACGCCATATTGCTCTATTTTTTGTTTTTTGAAAAATTACAAAACTGTATTTTTTTTTGTCTCTCACATTGTTAATTTTTACATTAGCGACAATTAGTTCACATTATTTTATTCATGCATTAAATAATGTCATATAAAGTTTCTTGAAAACTCACATTTTCAGAAACTATCAAAAAGGGCTCCAAACTTTTTCTTTAATTAATTCCAACAGGTTGTGCTGATTTCACCGTTAAAAATGACAAAGTTCATTTTGCTGTATTTTATTTTTTTACTACAAGAAAGTCTGTGCCATTCTGCAGCACTACTAGTGTTTATTATGGCAAGGCCTACAGGACAGAAATAAATCAATGAATTCGGATCTCTTAAGAGGTAATGCTGGTGTGGTATTTATTTTCGTTCTAGAGGTTTCCGCAGTGCCAGAAAGTACTATCAGTACAAAGAGGAGGTTCAGTGACCTGGCCACCATTGGCCCTAGGAAAGATCCCAGTACTCCCTTGGAAAGGAGGCTAACTTGACCTCAGACCAGCCCTGAAAGGAAACCACCAGATAAAAATCCCAAAATATGTCGGAATTCAAACCTGGGTCCTTCAGGTCAGGAAGCAAGAGCACTACCAATCTACCAATGGACCAATGTGCCTCCTTAATATTAAAAATATCTGCATTTAATTCAATAAATTATTAGTGACATGCATAAAAAAAATTTAATCTATTAAATAATTGTGGCCAATGATGGAACAGATGTACATCTTTATTGATTGGTAACACCACAATTGCGAAATTTTGCGGGCCATTTGTTTCTTTCTCATTTGTCACCTGCTTACAAGGAAACTACCACTGAATTTTGTTTAATTAATTAATAATGTTGGCTCCAAAATGATGCTAAATTCAAGATCTTATTGTAATTAGTGTTTGGAATTTTGAGTATGCAGTCGGATTGCTTGCTAATTTTAGAGTAACTTGCCTATACAGAATGTTGTTTTATTAATTCCTGCATTGTAATTAATATTAGGCTACTTTCTTGGAAACATAACACAGAAGCTGAAAAAGGCACCTATATAGAAGATGCGATAGAGGCAGTCGTTATAACCAGCATACAGAGCAGAATTAGAGTACCCTAAGTGGGCTACACAAGAGCCTAGTCCAAGTGTGAATCCAATTTAGTTCAGTCCTCACTTCAAAAAAGTTGATTGAATGAAGTTTCTTTATCAAGAAGTTTGGATGTTCATGTGATCTATCAGCCAAAGAAGAAACACAGCTAATGGATTGAATTGAAGATTCAAGGAACATTTTTCGAATAATAAGAATGTGCAACAAAAAGAAATAGCGATCAAAATAATGTGAGAATGACTACAAAAAATGAACCAACAAGCACCACTTTTACAAGGTGAACTTGGTGAAAAATAAAAGTCCATGGATGCTGCAAATTATAAATGTTTAAGTTCTCACCCGATCATTACCTAAAAGAACTTTCAGGATCCACACTGAGCATCAATGATACATTGACAGAAAAAAAGTACTAGACATACTTCACATGCAGAGGGAATATTATTGCATGTGCAGATGTTTGCAACATTTGAAACAAAATCTTTCATAGAGAATGCTCTCCTAACAGTGATAAATACAGAGGGGTTCAAAAAAATGCATACACTTTTTGTCAGTGAATACATTTCGAATGGAAAGACATACAGCTGAGCTTGCTATTTCAGTTGAATGTTTTGTTAAGTGTTCTTACGATGAGCTACATTCAGTGACTCCCATTGGCAGCTAAACAACATCTTAGCCACTGAACTGCTAATAGAGCATATTCATTTTTATTCCGGACTCTCTGTAGTTTGATTCTTGTACCAAGTGCTCTAATTTTTTTGCAAATATTGCATGATCTAAACTCTGCCACAGGGGGACTTAAGAAGACGTAAATGAGTACATTGTCTTGATCTTATTACTATAGTAATTTACTATTCAAGACGATAGATACTTTACCTGCAAGAGGAAGGTATTACTGTATGCACAATGCTAGGTGAGAGCAAGGTAACTTTTTGAGTAGATTAAAATATCTCTATTATATTTTTTTTTTGCAATTTTTGGTAAAATAAAAACTGTATTAATTGGAACAAATAGTTTCTGCATCGCCTCAAGGAACTTGTGCTTCACTGCTCAGGAGAGTGGATAAAAAAGATTATCTTAAAAGTCTTACTTATTGGCCATTAAGAAATATTTTTAATGAATAGAAAAATAATATGTATTTTAATATAAATAAAATTATAATTTGTAAGTAATTTTAATAATTTAATTCTTACATGACGGTCAATTTTTTCTTGCCCTTGACAGCAATAAATTGCTTTAAAAACTTGAATTTATACAGTAAAATCTGCCAGAGCCAGAATCAATCCTAACACAAAAATATTCCAGCTAAGGGAGGTTTCAGTTTGATGCAGTTGTCCTTTCATGACACTTGTGATATTGACATTTCTGCCCTGAAAGTAGTAAATTACATGACTATTATAATTATCAAAATACATTAACACAACATATTTATGGAGGAAATCACCAATAAACTAATATTAATCACTCATCATTGACAGCTTCTGAGTTGAAAAATATACACCTTACTGGCTGTTTTCGGACAGCTTGCTGACTCTTTCAACAGATTTTGCATCACAACCCAGTACTATGAATTTCTGATACTCTCACATGGCCTTCAGCCAGGTGTAACTGGTCAAGGACTTATGAGTTTCAATGTGAGGCATGGAGATGAGAATAGAATCCACAGCTGTACATCTTCCCACACTCGGAGTCAGGAGGGAGGAAATTCCCATACGGCCTATACCTTGAGGAACAAGCGACCCCAAGGTTGAATTCTATGCTGACAGCTGAAGCCCCTGTCTTTCAATGACTGGCTGTCATGACTAAATCATGTCATAGGAATAGAGAATTTAAAACAAGCTTGCAGATGCATTAATTTCATTAAGAACATCATATCTCTCTGCTAACTGTATTAAATTCACAGAAATTCTGTTTTATAAAGATTTTTCCTCTGAAGGTTCCCATGAAAAATAGTTCCCAGCATCCCAGTTTCTGTGATGGAGGGGTTCCGTTTTATGCTGCTTATAATGCCATTTAACTTCATGGACCGGAGAATTTTCTAGTTAAGGCAGATTTTAATGTATTTGTTCAAAAAGGACAGTCAAAAGGTGAGAGATGATAGGTGGCCAAGATAAGAAGCACCACTGTCCAAAATTAAGACAACCCTTGGCGCAAACACCTGTGTATCTATTTAATTTGTTTATTTTTATTATTTGCAATCTTTCAGCATAAGTTTCATGCCAGGTGTAAAAAGTATTGATAAAATGTCGCACACAATTTAACATCACTTTTCAATAAAAATAAGCATTCAATAGTATGAGAAAACATGGTTTAGCAGGCAAGCGACCACCTATTGGTTCATTTACCGTAGTTGCAATTATTTCATTGCTTAATACAGTTGTACACACTAGTTTCTGACAACTGTATAGACTGTAACTAGCTATGCCCAATAACTAGGAGATGGATTTTAATGAAATGTCATTTTTTCCCTTTTCAGTTTAGAACAATGGTGTTTAGTAGATTAATTGTTACAATGGAAGGAAATGACCTGTGTTTATACATAATTTACATACATTTTTTTGGATTTTTCGTTGATTTCCAGTTATTTTTTCACAGTTTTCCGTAATTATTACATATTCCACTGATTTCTGTGGGATTAATATCATTTTAATGGTACTTGCTTCAAATGAGTATTATAGATGCAACATATGTTCTCCTCAGAATTCCTGAGTAGGCTATTCAATTTCATTGCTCATAATTAAGGTCAGCCGTTGTACTATGTAATTAAGGTTCCTATGACAAGAGGCATCACTTGGTTTAGTGGAATTCACAATAAAAAGAGGCAGATTTCCTGGCGAAGAACAGTCCAATCCAAACCAATTGCTTGCAAGGCAAGTTCACTTAAAGGAAAGGAAGTAGTCTCGATTACATCAGTAACATATCCAAAAGCTTGAGTTGCCTGTCTAAAATGGCTTTGATCACATTTTTTAAAGTAATTTTTCTTTGCTTTAAGGGCAATTTTAAATAATCTAAGAGCATTTTTGGCAATGTTTTAGGTCATCAAAATCCGCTCCCTAAAAATAGCTAAACTCGGTAATTAGTGCTAAAACAAAACAATGAAGTTTGAAAACTTACTACTCAAAAACAAGAATGTAGTTTGCAAAATGTGCAAGAGAAAATAAGCAAATGCCCAGCCAGTTGATCTGCAAAGATGTATCATTCTCTGGGTATAACGTAGTTCAAACACAAAGAAAACATTTAAAACTTGTTACAAAGATCTTGTTTCATTCTCAACACTCTGAACCACAAAATAAAGCAATAGCAAGGATCAAATGAAATTTTATTTGTAGCTTGTAATGTGCAGAATAGAGAACGTATTAATATTACAGTAACACATGCAAATAAGAATCACAATCGAAGTTCATACAGATTAAATTCTATTGTTTTGCAGAACAGCTTCTGAATGCAGTTTGAACTCTGATAGATCTGCAACATTATTCTGGGAACCACATTAAAAACAATATTGATTAATACAGTAAGCAAGGCCACTTTAACAAGGCAAGTCACGCAAGTTCTGAAAAACTTTTCAGTTCAACAATACTTGTGACAAGAAAACCATCTTCATGTTTTCCATTTTGTCGGCAGGATCACAATTAGGTTGATACTCACTTTCAGTAAGGTATTTATATACAATTAACTTTGTAACAGTTATCAGGAATTAAATTCATTTTCACCCACATTTTGGGCAGTGTCCTTAATATTAGGATTATTAATAATATTATTACTTCAGCATGGAACACATCTAATGGTTGACTGACTAATAATGAATTTCAAGAAGCTACTTTTCAATCCTCGCAACTACAGACACACACGCGCGCATTAAGGCCACCTAACGGAATCCCAGATTACATAAACAAAAAATTAGTTGGCTAGCTTGTACTTAAATACACTATGCCATGTAAGTTCACAAACTGCTGAGTTTTCTTTGTGTGTCTTCACTAAAATACACACAAATATACGTTAAAATCTATTTACATGATAGAAGAGCAACTCACCTATATCACTCCTTTACATTAAAATATTTGCACTGTAAGTAATGCCAACTGAGATTCTTATTATTCACTACTTCAAAAAAATGTTGGTCATGACAATGAAACAATGGCTCACAATTGCTTATAGAACTGCATCCATATAGTAGTGCATAATTTAATTACATTTTATTTTCTCAATTTTGAATCTTGCAAATAGTATTTTGCAAAAGAATAATTAAAATACAATTTTCCAAAAAGTTAAAAATACACAAATCTAACTTCTGAAGTTTTCTCATTACATCCACCATTTTAAAAGCTTGCATCATTATGATACAGGCAGTACCATATATAAACAAATGCGGTAACAAAACTTTTAGTCAGTCAAGTCCAAAATTTCACTGACAAACTCAGCAACATTTGTATCCTTGTCTTTGTGTGCCTTGCAGAAAGGGTGGTTGAGCAACTGGTCATAGTTGGGACGGGCAGTGTACGATTTCTGCAAACTGGAAGATAAATAAAAGTTGAATTTTCATTTCCTTGGTATGTCAGGAAAAACACAACTCCTACCACTTATATACTTACCACTGACTAATAAAGTCTTCAAATTCTTCAGAAAACTCTCCAGGAGGAAGTCTGGGTGGATCATCTTTAACAACTTGTTTTAGTTGCTCAAAAGGAGTCCCCCAGACTTTGTATGGATATCGCCCAGTAGCAAGTTCCAATAGTGAAATACCCAAGCTCCACACATCAGATCTTATATCATATTTAGATGGATCACCTGATGGATCTATGCGTTCCGGCTGGAAAGGAATAATGAATAAATTAATGAAGATGTATTTGAAATAAAGTACAACTCTTTTTTAAATGGATACTTACAGCCATATAAGGTTTACAACCGGCATCAACAGTCTTAGCTACCGAATCAACAAGATATCCCGAAATTCCAAAATCACACATTTTTACTTCTCCTTTTCTGTTTATAAGTATATTTGATGGTTTCACATCACGATGAATTACTCGAAGTTTTGAGTACAGGTAATGTAGAGCACTAACGACCTAGGAATAAAATATAATTAGGTACAAGTTACTTTTCAATGCATTTTCTCTACATGAAAATCTTACTTACAGCAAATGCTATCTTTCCTAATATGTCTTCTGGTATCTGTCTATTATGTCTGTAAACTTTAGTGTAAAATTTATCCAAGCTGGTATCCATTACTTCCATACATATCCATACATCTCCTTCTCGGAACATTGCACCATAAAATTGTACAGTATACGGACAATCTGATGAACGCATAGATATATCCAAGTCCATCAGCAACCGTTTCTGTTCTTGCGTATTGACTGTCGCAGCTATTCTCTAAAGCAATGAAATAAAAAATAATTAAAACTGACTTTGTGAAAATGTGAGTATCAAGAAGCAAATTGTGCAGCCACATCTGAGCACTTCAGGCATGTTCATAACCATTTATAAATTTAAATGGTAAAAAATGTTTAGTCTATGCATCCTTAGGCATCCTTCAGGGGCAAATCTGAACCACTGAGGTTTTAATTTTGTTTTAATGATAGATTATTCTTACTTTAACTGCCATGACAGTTCCACTAGGAATATGTCTCATTTTCTCCACAATACCATAAGCACCACGCCCTAAATCACATATTTTCTGCAGGTCATCTGCTTCCACTTCAAAATTTTTATCACCAATGGTTATAGTAGTTCTTTTATCCAGATTTCTTGGTGGTGTTCTGCCATATGCAAGGGAAACAGTAAGTCGAAATGCATTTAAGCTTCCAAAATTAAAGCCAAATATAGATAACTTACGCAGGTGGAGGTGGTTCTAAAGGAACATGAAGTTTTAGTTTTGTTTTGCGTCCTGTGAAATTAAAGCAAATACAATTTACAATATAGTATATATAAAAATGCCTTCATTGAATGTTTCTTAATCACTGAAGAAAAACGAGAACATAAATTATTTTAAATAGGTATTAGAATTACACACCTGACATTTTACTTTCAAGTAATAAACTTTCTTAAATAAAATTATCTTATACAGGAAGGTAAAATGTTCAAGAATATCAAGTCATGTTGTTTAAGTACTGCACTTAAATTCCATTGTCAGAGAACAGCATCTACTTATCACTCTTAGGAAAATTCCCACTCTGCTCACTGCAAACGAAAATCATGAAACTCACCACTACATGACAAATTGGCATTAACCAACAATTGCATTATCAATTACTCCAATTTTACACAATTATCACCTATGATGCAAAATAGGCAAATTCAATTACACGAGAAATTAATCTGCTAAATCATGCCATTTTATTATAATAATTATGAAATTGGGATTTTTGTTTATACCGAACAAAAAATGTCAGGACAGCCTACAGCCCTCACACCAGTGAAGGCTACAGCACGTGGCCCCGACCACAGAATAACACTGACTTCAATTAATTGGCTTATCGTTGCATAACATTCAAATACACCTGAGACTATTCACTCAATAACCCTCTGCCCTTCCTACATTTCTTGTATTTCTCTCTTCTTTCTACTTTACTGCGCTCACTCACAAGCATCGCTTTTCACCTGCTGCTTGTTTTTTGTTTTTTTTTAATCGATGCAGTATTGTGTCTTTGGACAGTATGTGAGTATGCGATAATAAAATGCGCGCGTAATTTAAACAATTATAATTTGAATGCAAATGTAATTCAGTTCTTGTACTATGTTTTCGGGAATTCCACAGAATTGTGTTTATTGACTTATAAGATATCATATTTTCCCACTTGAATTAAATTATGCGTTTGTTTCCGGTTTCAAAACTCAGAAAGATAGTTTTGTAGGATAAATGGACACCATTGACAGTTGCGTTTCTCGTTTTTATGCTTATTACATTATGTAAACCAGCGATTATATGCATTCGTTTCATTTGTATAATTATTCTCTCTTGAGTTTTAATCGCATCGCAATTTTCTTGTATTAACTGCAAACCAAATTCAAGAGAATAATAATACGCTCGTGTATTGCGGGCCTAGTTTTTTCACTTCCAGTTGCTACTTGAGAGCCAGAATGCTAAAACGTTGATGACAAACATTAGCTGCGAACGGAGGGCAGGGGGACGTTGCAGTATGTGTAGCTCCATGTCAGCCAGATCGCCAAAGGGCACACAAATAACCAGATCGCTTTCGAATAATCGATGTGATCTGCGGGCTAACGGCAAGAATTCAGAGAGGCCAGGTAAGCTAACTCAATAAGAAAATTGAGTTTCGCATAGCAAATCGCTGTATTTCATAAATGCATAGTGTTAGTTTACATTTAAACTGAAAATGTACACCAATAATTATGTACGAATTGTTCATCTTTCAAAAAACTAAGCGAAAACTAACGGTTATGTTCTTCTTTGGGTTGAGCCGCACCGATCTCATTAAATTGTCTTTTCCCCTTTTTTCAGAAGAGATTATCTTAAAAGTATTTAAGGTATTTACAATAAAAGTAAAGTAGAGCTATATTGTAATAATTTTAAATGCCTTTCATTTTGTTTAAAAATGTTTTTGCTAGAGCTGACCTTTCTTGAGATATATTCCAGAACAATTACACAGGCGTATTTAGCTTTTTGTCTATATCACTTCCTATTTATCAGTCTTTTGGTGTTATCTCACCTCAAAGCATTTGAATAAGAGGACAAGATCAGTTCATAGATCTACTATAATTTGACTGAACTAACATATACGTTGTACTAAACTTCTTTGTGCATGGCATTTGAGGTGTATGTGATGACGACAACAGTGGTTTCCTAGCGACACCATTTAAGTTGCCACCTCTTCGGGTTTTACCCGGAGACTTCGGGTTTCGTGACCAATCTACGGGTTCCGTGTTTACTACTTTCATCTCCGGGTCATGCACAATATTGAATGTACTATGCGTTCAAATGTTTCAATTATGGAAAACATTTCGTCCGATTTGAGAAACAGAATGAGAATCGAATTAGTCAAAGCAGAACTCTTTGCAAATCTAACTATGATACGTCTTGCGCCGAATTTCACAAATTCATAAACAATAAGAAGCAAGTATGCTTACTAAAGAAAGCCGTTTCAAATGAGAAATATATTTGGAAGATGAGTTAGTTTTTAAAAATAAATATTACAGAAAAGTAATATAGAGATTCTATTTTTAATGTAATCATTTATTATTTGTTTTATAGATTGTTGACTATGGAAATGTAATTTATTTGATTGTTTCTAAACGAATAAATTAAAATTATGATTGTACAATTAAAGAAAAGTGTACAAGTTAAATAAAACATATCCTCCCCCCCCCGCTCATGAAAATCTCCGGGTGAGTATGTGTCAATAGGGGGCAACTACCATGGAAGAATATATTCTTATAACAATAGTTTTTCCAATGACATAATCTTCCCTGTCTAACACAAACTCGGAATGATTAAATGAACGGGATAGTGCCAGGGAAGAAGACCGAGATAGGGAACAACACATATTCAGGGATAGAACCATGGGAGAAGACCAAGATACAGAACAACACATTAATTCATGACCATGGTATCTTCTTCCATGATAGAGCGACGTACCAGCGATTAATATTCATTTATCGTTATACTAGCTGAGGACATCTGCCACGCGTTTCTGAAATCCAACTTCAAAAATTTAACCTCATTAAAATTATCCAGACAATATAGGTATCATTACTTAGTGTACGTGACAGACTGAAAAATATCAAAAGTATAGGATTGAAATCTAGTGTTTGCTTTAGATCGTCCGCAAAAATGCGCGCAGCGCGCTCATGGCAAGGGTATTAATAATAAGGTGCGGCAACACTGCCTCCACCAAATCCCAAGTGAAGTTCAAAGAAGAATGGATCAACGTGTAGGTAGGTACACACTGAAGAAACTTTAAAAATGCTTTATGAGAAAATGAAATACTGTCTGGCATTATATTCAATCACTTGCTGTTCTCACAAATGACACATGAAATAAAATAATGGGCCATTATATTAGAAAAAAAGTTTACCTCCCTTTGAAGATTTAATGTTAAAATACTCACTCTCTTATTTTGTTTAATTGTAGAAAGAGGTGGGAGGGTGCACGATGGGTGTGCACAGAGAGAAATTTTGATTTTCCCCTCTCCAGTTGCCCTGAGAGGAGGGAGTTTATTAATTAATCTGGGGTATAGATTCGCTGCAGCCAGTAAGGCTTTAGCAGCGTGGGCGGGCATATCTTAAACATTCTATACCACAATAATAAAATACTACAATATAATCTTATAGACTAATGCAATTGTCTCTTTGGGCCTAACAGAGAGAGAGAGTGAACTATATATTCTCTATTATGAACTGCTGCAGAGTATTTCGTCCCTCGCGTACTGCCAGATGACAAATAGTTGTTTTTTCTGATCAGTTTTGCCAATAGCTGAAATGTAACTCATGCTTTATAGAGCTCTTTTGCCTCAGGACTGACAACACATGTGCACTCTCCTCACGAATGAATGGCTGCCGTCAATCCGTTCTTATTGCGCTCAATTGTTCTTGGTTGAGAGATTTGTGCTGGTTGTAGTCCGCATTCGTTTTAATCACGGTCATGATCATTGTGATCATGATTTGATCATTAATTGCAAATATTTTATTTCGCCTAGAAATCTTAAAACTGGATATTTAAATGGTATGATTGACGTGAATTATTTTTGTGGAGGTTACGATGTATATTTACTTTAAAGGATAAACCAATTTTGATACAAATCAAACGTGAATATATAACGATTGCAGAGGAACGAATATTGTTGAGAGATTTTGTAGTATCGTTCATGGAAGTGGAATTAAAATGTACTTAATGCAAATAGTTCGTAATAATCTTGATTAATGTCACTTTGTTTACATTTGGAAATGGATCATATGTAGGCTACATCTACTTGGAAGCAGTCCTGCTCAAGTGTATTAAAAACCCATCAACTCTAATGCGAGAGCTCGTTTACCGGATTATGTATAACATCCGTTTATAGCTGCACGTGTGTAAGGAGAGCCAAGTGTTCAATGAAAATAAATATTATCAGTCGTAAAAGCAGAAAATTAATTGCCCCCTTTCACCTGTTCAATTATGAAGTGTCACCAGAGACAATAGTCATTAGGAAGTAGATAAATTGTACCAAAAGTTAAGACAAGACTGGTTGTCAATGTCATGAAGAAAACCTTTTCACTGTCAAACGCTTAATAACTATTACAGAGAGAATAGATTACCTTATAATATTTCTTTAAAGTTTATTAACTAACTTTTCTTTAAATATGTCCTGTCTTTAAAAAAGTAATAACAAATCAGCTTGAGTTGTACTTGTGGATTTGAGAATTTTATTCATAATTTGTATTACATTTACTGTGATTGTTTCTGTAAGTCCTGATTGAAAGTTCCATTTACAATGTTTGTTTACAGAGTGTGAAGTTTTATTAACGTGAGATCTCAAATTGGCTGAAAATGTGGCCACTACTAGTTCTCATCTCTGCTGATTTCACAACAGTAATTTTGGAAACCCTTGCATTTCTTGTAATTTTTTTCCTGACATTATCAGTATTCAACTATTTTTCAAGCGATATCCATCTCTCAATTAGAGGGTTTTCTAACAAACATAATTGGACTCAGTCTCAGCTTTCATCCAAGGTATTGTACACATGCATGTGTATACAACATAAAAAATAAAAAGAAAGAGAAGAATGTGAGTTATGCAAAGCTGTGATACAAATTAAACAATATAAACTGCGAACAATTAAATTTGATAATGAAAAAGAGAATTTTAGGGGCTGAATATACAAACAAGAAAATTACGTAATTTCTTAAGTGACATTATTGAATAAAGCCCCCGTGTTTATTAAATATTTCAATTCAAATGAGAGTTACCAAAATTAAAAGTAAATCAACATGCTATGCCAGTTAGACTTATTGTCTAATTTTTAATACGTTAACTTTTCGCTCTTATTAATGTTTGATGGCAGTTTTCTTTCACACAGCAGAATCTTGCCCACTCACACTTTTTTAACAAGATTAAAGACAGTATTTAATGCTACCAGAAGTTCTTTCAAACTTTTCCCCTGTCGATTATCATTGCTGAATACACAATTATTTTATTCAGTATTCTGGATAGTACTCGAATTTTACATATTTCTTCAAAATTAGATATAACCCAATTCTTCTCTGTCTTAACATTACTTGAAATTTGAAGATCCTCTTTTTCTGTTCAAAAGTCTTGTACGAGTATTTATTTTAAACTGGTATTTAAAAGCCTATTGATTTGTACTTCTTTATTCTTATTCTAATTGATGAGTTTTTTGATTCTCCATCTAATAATCTCATTTCGATCTTCCTCCTCCAGAAAAATAACATATATTTTAATTTTTTTTCTCAGTTACTTTAGCAAATGCTGTAAAATATATTTTTGACATTTATTTGGTTATTAGGTTGTTGTTATTGTTAATAGTCATCATAACACATCTTTCGCTACGTAACACAAATTTCTTTCCTTTGCTCTTGCTTCAGAGTGTTGGAAAGGAAATCCACATCAAGTGAAAACTAATTAATATTGGTTATTAACAAAGTCTGTGTTTTGAGTGAACACTTGTTTTTAGCCAGATTTATAGAATTATGAAAGACAAGGGAGTGAAATGTAGCTTTCTGTTGAAAATGGACGGTCTCAGTCTTGGACCTGCCCCCCTTTTCGTTAATTTTCACCCTTTTCTGATTTGACAATGTGATTTTGTATGGAGCATTATACACTCAGTTAATTTTTTAAATTCATTACATAGCAATTTAAATTTGATATGATAGTAAACATATACATGCACAACACAAACATCTGAATTTACACCAAAGTACATGATATACACACTCAGTCAGTAGTCATTGCCCTTTTCTTTACAATTTATCCTTATTTTGAAACAGTTCATTGTTCACGTTCACATAAACTAACACTGAATTCACAAAGTAGCAGTAGAATAATATATAGATAGCACTTATGAAAATATGCGTTGTCTAACAAAGGATTAATACTTTAGCACCTAATTTGTGAGGCTTACACCCTTTGTGGAAGTGCACAATAAGTAGACCAAACTGGAATATTTAAACAAAGACTAATTTGTGTGTATATGCACTACATGATCACACTTTACTGTCGACACAAAACCATAACCAGATTTTTCTTTATTGGAGGACTCAAAAATGAACATTTGACCTAAAAACATTCAAAACTAAAAGTAAAATCTGATTTTTAAATTTTGACAAGTTAACCTGACAAAGAGATGTCAAAAATTCTTCATATTACTTTTATTTAGGCCATTTAATTGGCTGGAAATATAAATTTAATATAGTGGTATGACCAAAAGGTATCTATAAATGTGTTACTCCACATTAAGTACAAGTATGTTTTTTTTGGTGTTAGCCCCCTAACCCTCTCCCTAGCTACGTCCCTTCTTGAATCATAGATATATAACACATCTACACAATACCAATAGATCATATCATCTTTATCATTATTATTATAATTATTTTGTAATGTTATCTTTTTACTTTAATAATGTTTTGCTATCTGAATTGGAGTGCTATGTGCTCGGTAATTTGTTAAACTAAGTATTATAATTTTTTTAAATGTTTAGGAGTGCATGAAATTGTTTTAATTATTCCAGCTATGGCCGTACTAAATTTCAAATGAACCATACCTTTGGCTTAAATATATATTCCTATTTTTTCCTTTATCTGTTGTGGCTTCATACCTTGAAATAATCAATATAAAAACAAATTACTAAATGCAAAGTCATGGAACTGTTTTTTTTTATTTGCAATTTTGTAATTGATATTCAATGTGTTTGTTTATTTTATCAGCCATGCTATTGCTCTGTATGTGAATCATTACTATTAACTGGAAGCGGTGCTGCTTGTGATTGCTGTGGAGTGCATGCAGATCCTGGTTGCATTCGCATTGCTGACAAGAAACTCAAATGTAAGGCATTAACGTCGAATGATAGATCCCCTATGAAGCATCACTGGGTGAAAGGTGCACAAACCAAACTATTTTCATCACAATATGCTCTTTATGAAAATGTTATTGAAGTTATAGCTCTTATACTTTTTTTGTTAAGGTAATTTGTCATATGATGCATTATGTGCTGGTTGTGATGAAGAATGTGAGAGTGAGCCAGGTCACCTCGATTGGCAGTGTTGTTGGTGTCAACGAGCCATACATCCAGCATGTGAAAAAAAAGTGCCGCTGGTAAGTTTGCAGTCTTTGTGATCTATGTTAGTGTTAAGTATAATTTTTGTATGGTTGTGGAGAACCAACTAATAAAATAAGAAATATTTTCCCATGATTCTTCACAGCTTGAGAAGCACTAAAAAACATATTCTAAATCTGAAATTTTGATAATGTGAAAATGTAATTTAAAATGTGTTTTACTAGTTCAATGTGCTTTAGAGTTTAGTTTAAAATACTGCAACTAAATCCAATTTAACCTGTTCACCCATTCAAGGTGCTTTTGTTTCTTAAAAACTCAAAAAAATTGCATTGGGGACATGTGTTACGGCTAATGGGAGTTTTTGTTTTCACTGTTTCAAATGGTTAATTAGTCATATATTTGCACTTGATCAAATGATGGTTTGGTGGGAGAAAAATACAGTTTTTCCATGTTATTAATTGTGTGTATTCTGAATTTCAACTTTCCGGAAAAAAGTGATGCATGAAAATAAAAAAATCTCTGAAAAATATTTTTATCAGTTTTTAATTATAATTTAATTTCAAGAGTTTTCTCTATAATTCATTCTACATAGAATGAATGAATAGAATAATCAGACAGGGATATCTAAATCTGAGGTAGGACTGGTCCATAGGGAAAGGAAGCAGATGTGAATGGGTTCGTAAATGTTCAGCTTGGATAGAGATTCCTTTTGTAAATTATTGTCAAACACTTAAATGTGAAACAATGTATGATTTTATTATTCGAATTATTTCTTTGTTTATTTTTTATTTTATATTAAAATTCTTTATCATCTTCATTTCTTATTATATTTTCTTGAGAAATGCTCAACTTCAGTCAAAAACTTCACTTCATTCTTCAAAACCTCACTTCAGAAGACAAAATTTTGCAGCTAGTTTGGATAGATGAAGGGGAAAATATTTTGAACTTCGTAAATTTCAATAATTCAGATATTTTAACAAAAATCGAACCTGAGTCCCGAATGAGGACCTTCCTTAATCATCCTTTGTTCTATTCTAGGAAAAATTATAATTAAAGAATTTTGAGCCTTTTATAAAAAAATAATAAAAATGTTATTGAGGCATCATGTGATAACAAATCTAAATATCAACTTGAAGGGCCTCGATTTCATGTAGTAAATCATTTAAGACGTTAGACAGACAAAGAGTAAGTGCTCTGTGGCGCTAGGGTTGACCCACAAATCGTGATTTCTCATTACACAAAGTTTTAGAGAAAGTAAGTTACTACATATAGGAAAATTTATCCACTTTTTCGGCCAGCTTAATTGGTTCAAGGCATCAATTGATGTCTGCAGTGCTTCTGACCAGGAGAACCTCGAGCAGTTTGACGGATTTTTGACACTAGCTAGATCTAATTCAACTGCTGTCTGGAGGAGAATTTAGCTGCTGGCTACTCTGATCGGTTAGTTTTCCGTGTTTTTCGTCCTTTCAGCATCAGGCGAATGCCAAAGCAGTACCCTAAAAAACATGTCATGGACCACGCACCATCGTTCCTTGCCTTATTCTCTCTCTCTCTCTCTCTCTCTCTCTCTCTCTCTCTCTCTCTCTCTCTCTCTCTCTATCTCTCTCTCTCTATCTCTCTCTCTCTATATCTCTCTCTATCTCTCTCTATCTCTCTCTCTATCTCTCTCTCTATCTCTCTATATCTCTATCTCTCTCTCTCTCTCTCTATCTCTCTCTCTCTCTATCTCTCTCTCTCTCGCACTGGGACTTGGACTTGGACTTGAACCTAATTGAACTTCTTGGCTGACTGAACACCTCGGAGGCAGAAATGTGGAACCTGTTATGTGGAAGAGCTGAACTCGTCCCGATTGTTGCCGGGGCTTAAGTCTTGCTGCGTAGGTCGATGCACGCGTCACAGTACACCTCTGAGCGAATGCTCCAAGTCTCCAGACGCAATGACTAGGCAATGCGTGGTCTTAATTTGGCAGATGCGTAAGGCATATGCTCATGGGCAGCTTGCAGCCCTGTTTAACGGCGAGATGGGCAGCTTGTAGCCCTGATTGATGCCTTTGCAGCATGATATCTGTGTGGCAGGGCACCAGGGCCGGATTTACCTTCAAGCAAAACAAGCAGTTGCTTGGGGGCCCCGCGTTTCGGAAAAATACGCATACCATATTTTTTTGTAAAAAGTTATTTTTTTGTATAAAGATGGAGCTATTTTTTCGGGGAGGGGGGCAACACAATTTTGTGCTTGGGGCCCCACACTACTTAAATCCGGCCCTGCAAGGCACATACGCCGACTACCAGCTTTCACATTGATGCGACTGACTGCGTAAACCTGAGCAAACAAACTCACATGACTCGCATCCCTCTCTCTCGCCCTCTCACTCGCTCTCTCTGGTGAGGCGCGGTGGTACACGCAAATATATATAAAGCGCCCCTCCCTGCCGCGAACTGATCTAAAGTGGGGGGGCTCTCAACCTCGGCTGGGCCGCTGGCTGGGGTGGTCGCCCTTCGCGGAAGGCAAATGAGCGGTCATAAACCGCACATCCCAAAACAAGGGGCTTTGATGTGCCCCGCGCCACGCCTAGAGGGTGGCAGCAAGAAGAGGTAGCCGCGGCGGCGGTTCCAAGCGGAACTCTCGGACAAAGGAGAAAGGGACGCGCAGAGAGCGGGGGGGGGGCTGTTTTATTGCCACGAGCGGGCGTAAACTCACACCTACAAGAAACAGCTCACCGTAAATCCCTTCAGCCATAAACAAAGTTGTGAGCATGCGTGAAGTTTTTTTTGTTTTGTTTTTGGTGTTTGTTTCAGGAATGTGACTTTGGGTCGTTTCAGTCAATGATAATTCCTCCAAATTCTATTGTGGTTTCTCGGAAAAGGAGTGTTCGAACAAACTTTCTTCTTCGAGCGGTAAACCCTCCTCCCTGGCCAGTATGGGTGCCTCTCATAGTGGTAGGTTAGTTTCATGAAACAACTTTTTTCTGACTCTTACAACAATTAATTATCAGTAGAATAAGTCTTATCATTGTTGGATAGCATTTGCGACTCACTGATATGTATTGCTAATAATAATTTCTTATTTTTAGTGAAAGGATATGTTATACTGTGTATTTTTTAATTACTATTAATTATATTATATATTTATGTTCTCAGGAAACAGAAAATCAGGTAATAATGATGGTGACATAATTTTATCTTATTTTCGTCGACTGCTAAATCCTGCCCAAGTAGTTGATTTAGCTACCCGAAGTCCAGAAGCTGCTTTGGAATGGTGCACATTATTAGGTGAAAGAAAAGCAAATGTTTTGGTTGCTGGTGGTGATGGAACTATTGGCTGGGTTTTAAATACTATTGAGAAGTTACAATTGAAGGTGAGAAATAGCACATTCCTTTTTAAATCTGAAATACTGTACATCCATATTCTTCTATAACGAACAATGTAGAAAATTTAGAGACACGATATAGAATTAGAGAATTTAATTTCTAAATTTTTCTTTCTTCAGAGTGCAGTTAAAGTTTATGTTTTGTTTTTTAATTTGTTCATAGTGTGACCCACCTGTAGCCATCATGCCTCTGGGCACAGGAAATGATTTGTCTCGAGTTCTTGGTTGGGGAAAAGAGTTTGCAAAACATGTGGATCTTTCAATTGTTTTGGAACAAATTCTTAAATCCTCTGAAATTCCTCTTGATCGGTAAGTGTATTGTGTAACAGTGTTAAAGCTAAAATACTCAGTAATAATCTGTGGAATCTCTTGAAGTTCATAATATTCATAGTGGATTTCCAGGTAATGTAGTCGAAGTATTAAGATTCCCATTACAGAAAGAAAATTATGGAAAATTACGTTGGGAAACCACAGAGGTTGATTGGAATGAAATATACATTGTAAATTACGTAAATATAGCAATTTGTATGTTTGTTGATAAAATCACTCATCTGATTCAAAAATTGGAAATCAAATATCAAGGTAAGAGTCAAAAGCCTACTTCAAAAAAAAGAAGAAAAATAGATTATCTACGCAGGCAAAAATACAATTTTTTAATTTAATACTTTTGTACAAGCAAATGAAATGATATCCACATATCGTAGACTGCAAAAATGGATACCTACAGTACAAAAATAAATTACATCCTGTTGTAAGAGTAACCTAACCAAACGTTTATGAAGATTTAACAAATAATATGTCCAATAATGCTTAGGCATTTTGTCATTTTACAAACAACAAATTTAGTAAAGGGAACATTAACAAATTCATTGATCAAATATCTTCTGATCATTCACATTAAATTATTGAAGGTGACAAAGATGTAGCTGACCCATTCAATACATTTTCTATAAGTATTGGACCAAACATGGCTCAAAATATTGATATCAATGTAAAAGTTTTCATCCACTCAAAGGGGAGTAAATCCCTAATTATTGAATTTAAGTTTTTCTTGGTAAACTGACAAAGTTTCTACGGTGACTACTATTGATGTGACTGACAAAGTTTCTACGGTGACTTCTACCTTTTGCATACTGTTTAAAACGATTTTTAATTTTCACAAGTAGTTTAATGTGGTACCCTTATTTTTTGAGGTTTATGTGACGGAGAGTTCATTTGACAATACAACAAAAAAACCTTTTACGAATATCCTTTTGTGGTTGAGGAGATACCATGTTTGTTCTTCATTTCATTGGTGCATGCAATTTTGAATTGGACTTGTGCAGTTGTACAGAAAACTATATTCTGGAGGCCAAAGTTCAAGTTGGACTGCAGAGCCTTTCAAGAAGTTGCCAAAAAGAGTTGCACAGAAAAAAGTAAATATCTTCAAAACTAAAATTGATGAAATGCTAAATGAAAATGGTTTGAAGTGTCAATATGTACAAAATAAATAATTTTTTAAAATTTTAGAGTATAAGAATACTTTAATTATGCCCTCTGTAAACAATACTGCGAGCAGTACTGTACCAAATTCATTTTTCTTATTTGCTACTACTCACTTGAAGTTTTTAACCACATGAGAAATACAGTCCCAATTGAAGAAAACTTAATTTTTCCCTCTAAATAAAGGGGGAACAGTGACAAATACGTCATGCTAGTCCTTTGCATTTCTATCTTGCCCTAGAAACTGAGATGAAACTGATAATGAATTCTTCTGCTTAAGCAGGAACTTCTTATGAAGAGAATGTTATGTAATGCTGCGGGAGAAAAAAAAAGGGTAAATTTTCATCAGAAAAAAAATTATTACAGGGCTCTGGTAACAAAAAAGGTTACCAAAAGTCGATTGACGGCAGAATGTCTGTCTGTGAACAACGCTAGTGGCTAAACCATTCAAGCAATATTGTCCAAAATTGATATTTCTGTATCGATCTGGCTGATGTTGCGGCACTTGAATTTGAAATTGATAAATTAATTTTGAGTAGTACTTTCCATGAAGGCTCTGGGACTGTTTCAAAATGTTCAAAAAATTGCACCATTGATTTTGATTAAATTTTGTTGTTGGAGGGAAGGGTCTGAAGGGACATTTAAGAAAATGGTGCAGGACTTATGTTGGTTAAAATCTCTGATTTTTCAAATGTTCAAAAAATCAAACTTATTTCGGCGGCAGCGTTCAACTGAAATATTAGATAGAGGTTTTTCCATTCATAAAATCTGTTCCTTATAGATAGATTTTGAAATAAGTTAATGTACAATTTTTAAAAAATTTGAGTATTTTTTGCATTATTTCGTGTAAAATATAGGCAATTTTTAATTTTTGTTTAAATAATTTTTTTCTCAAGTACGACTCCATTCTTTTTGATAGATAACGACTCCATCCTTTCATCCTTTTTGGTGGTGTGAAGGACGTTTAAGAGAATGATGTAAGTCTCATGTTGGTTGAATACCCTGTGTTATTCAAAATTTTTTGCCGTCTTCCTACAACTACAATTATGAAGATATAATTTTTCCCTTAGTAAAGTGTGTTCATCAATAACAGATCTTTAAATAAAGTCATGTTTAATTTTTCAAAAATTAGTATATTTTGCAAAATTTTGTCATAGGCAATTTTTATTTTCTTTAAACCACTTTTTCTGAAAAACCACACTTTTTTTGTTAAATTGGACACTTAGCACAAAGAACGCTTAAGGGAATGGTGCTGGTCTCATGTTCATCATGTTGTCCTACAACTACAATTGTGAAGATACAAGTTTTCGTCTGAATGAAATGGTGTTCATAGAAAGCAGATCTTCAAATAAGGTCATGTTGAATTTTTTGAAAATATGAGTATTATTTGTGTTAATTGGGGACAAATGTAAATGCCCACTGTATTGTTAGTCTTCATTTAAAAGAAAATGAAACATTATAGAGTGAACTTAAAATACCTTGGAGACGTGGCAAAAAATAATTGAATGTATTTGAAACAACCAATAGAATTTCATAAAGAACACCTTAGAAGAACTTTCATAAAACAACAACAATGCAAACTGAAAAACAGTACCACATATGGCAAAAGTGGCACTTTTAGCAAGAATTGATGAGAAAAAATGTGCCCATCGCTGCATATGTGCTTTGTTGGCAGCACTCATAGATTGAGCTGTGATGTTATAAACTGAAATTGCAGATCTGTTACTAAGGGGCAAGACAGTATGTGCTGTTTTAGCGCCATTAGTTATTTATTAATTTATATAGTTTGTATGTACGTACAGATTAACAATGAATAAGCAGAAGATACATTTTGCATATCGTTGAGGCATAACCAATTTGGAGGCCTAAATAGTAACAATTAACACTCAAGTCATTACTAAACTGGAATGAAAGGAGGGACATCATTTACTCATCTTTTTGATTTATTGACATTTGTTCATAGGGTTTAATTTTTAGTCCTATTCTCTTCTGACATCTACTACTACATGTAAACGATATGACCTTGGTAATTCAAAATGGAAGAACTACTTTCTTTGCTGGTGGTATGAATATTCTATGCAGAAAAAAAAAGTACAATATCAGATTTTCAAATTGTTTCTGAAATAAAATATTAATAGAAAATGAAGGGAAAATGGTTTCAATATAGTTTTCCATTTCAAATAAACAATTGTACTCTCCATTGAATATGAACGACGTGCCAGTGTTCGATGCTGAGAAAACAACATTTTTGGATCTCATAATTAAGTCAAACCTCAAATGATATGCCCTTTTGAAATGAAATGAACATAAAATTAAATTCATTATGCTACATGTTCAGAATTCTTTCATATTGAGTCGGCGTGTTATGCTGTGCTGTTGTGTGTAGTTTGCAAATGTTCATTCCCACCTGTGAGTGACCACCACATGAGATGGGCCCATAATATTCTGGGGAAATATCCTGTAGCTCCCAGACTTTCAGATTACAGGAAACACTTGTATGAATAATAGTCAAATCACACCCAAGAGTCTTTATTAAGCTAGGAATTCTACCATAGGCTTCTTGAGTTACAAATCAGTGGGTTTGGTCAAAAATGACTTACTCAAGGATGGTAATATAATAACCAATACAGGTATGTATCTATAATTATAACATTCGATGTAGTAATCATATTTGTCTGGTGTCAGTATCAACAGCTCACTACAAAGATTTCACATACACACATTATTTTACGATGTGTTGCCAGATGTCATTAAATGATTAAAAGCAATACACAATGTGAAATCTTTTCTGCTGGGCTTTCTGTTCAATTTGAGACTATATTGAGCACAAAAAAAGATTCATTTTAACAACTACATTTAATGTATTTATTACCATGTAGCCTGTATAATTCTAAAAGACTGAATATACCTGTAACAAGTATTGTATCTCAAGTATTGCTTCTGGGTCAATGACCCCACGGCAATAAAGTTTTTTAACTAGTTTCCATGATCCTTCGAGCCAGTGCTGAGATTGCCCCTGTTTTGCTTTTGGTCATAAATGTAGCTTCACTGGGCACATTTTCTTAAACTCAGTGGGTAGTTTATTTATTCAAATAATCATTCTCACAGGAGTAAATTCATTCCGCCATGGGTATGATAAGGGATAATAACCAAAATCTTTAGCTGATTTGCAATTACGTGTGAACAAAGATTTTTATACCAATTCCTGCCAAAAATGCTCATTGCCACCAGTTTTCATAATTCTATTTAATACAGTAGTATGTCTATGAATTGGAGCTGAGTTCTCAGAGCTCAAGAAACCGTGCACAGATCGCACTTCTCCCTGTAATATGTCACACGTTTTTTTTACTATAAATAAATAAATAAAAATAAGTTGGATTATCAAGTTTTCACTAAGTACAGATAAAATATAAGAATTAATAGAAGTAAAACATGAGGAAAAACAAGAGTTTGCTCTACATTACAATGTAAAATTTCAAAATATTTTTTTTCTCAAGAATTTAAATTTCAGAATGAATGTGAATAACATGAAGAAAACTATTGCACAATTTAAAATATGACATAACATCATTCATAGTATTTAACCCTACTCAAATGTTTTTTCTCTTCAGGCTAGTTATATCCACATTTTTCAAATCACTATCAAGTAAATGAAATACTTTGTGGGCAATAAACTTGTAATTTCTTCTGCTAATGTCTGTATTTGTAGTCAGAAGTAGAAATTAAGTTATACATGTTTTGAAGATGGAAAAATTTATTCAGGTTAGATATATGTAGGAAAAGTTTTCTGAGTCCTTATATTATTATCTCTAAATTATATTTTAGAGGAGTTAATTGTGTTTCTTGTAACCCTTCAGTGGTCATGCTCAAAATTGTAATGCAAGTGTTCTTGTTTCGTTGATGACCTTCGGTGCCGACATTGACCACTCCATCCCTCCATGGATTCCCTGTAGATGTCTCCCTCATGCTCTTGTTTTTGTCAGCAAAGATTTTTCTCAATCCTCCTTTTCATTTCTGGTTTCATAATGTAAAGTGAGGTTCTTTAGAAATCCCCTTCTACTCAACCTTTCACCACTGTTATTCTTTGAATAAACATTCAGAGCATTGATTGCAGTGATATTCACGATGCCAGCTTAGACCAGAAACTGAACTGTGAGTGGTTGTGCGGACTACTATTGTAATCGAAGCTGTTTTTGGCATTTATTGCTAGTGTAGCAGTTATCATTTGAGTCATTTTCCCTATAATTCAATAGCTGGCGCCTTCTATGAAAGGTACTGAAAAGTCAATGACAAAAATTTGTCAACTCTCATTCCATTGCAACAGTAATCTACATCACATGAAGGGTTAATATCAATTTAATGATTTTCTTTTGAATGATGGCTTGACTGAATTTTCATATGCTCTTCTTGAAGCAATTATTTGTGTAGCCAGAGGCCCCTAAAAATGCATGATATATTATTAGATGTTTAGTATTAAACATTTTTCTCAAATTATAAAAAATAAAGTAACATAATTTGATACCAATAAGAGTCATATACTGTGTACTTGCAGGTTAGAATCAATAAATATGTCTAGATTTTTATAGGCATAACATTTTAATTGACACTTTAATGATAAGAAGCAGCATTATAAGAATCATTATGAACTTCCAAGCTGCACTATCTCAATACACTTTCCAAAAAGCTACCATAAGTTTTAAAGGTAATTTTTGATACATTAAGACTAAGAAAATTTGGATAAAGCCATTTGGCTATAAATTTTGGTTCTTATTATCAGCCCATAACTTACCTCTGATAATGGCTTCTGAGTCATTAGCAAAATATTTATCTCCTTTCAACAAAATTGTAAATAAGACATTTATGTGAAAGAAAGAAAAATAAATTATTGTTGACTTGAGGTTCAGTTTATTTTGTTAATCGTATTAATCAAGTCCTTGTTATTTGACAATCACCTCCCATGAAACTTTTATCCCATTAATTAAACAGGAACATCAGACAGACTACATCATTCACTTTCTTATTAAAACAATTAAGAAATCTATGCTAAAGCTTGAACTCTTTTAACTGCATATTTTTAACTTGATTAAATGATAATAAAGTTTTTATATTAATTGTTATTATAATTGAGTTCTTATAACAACATTTTCATGTTTATCCAAGTGAATTCTCAAATTTCATCATGTGGAACTAGATTTACTTTGTCATTTTTACATTTCACTATTTACTTAGTACCTTTGAGTGTTATCAATTTTTTCTACTCTACCATTTTCCTTTATGTCTCAATTGTAGGTGGTTGGTAGAAGTATCCCCTACAAGACATTTGGGAATAAAACTTTCTTCAAAAAAGATATTTATGTACAACTACTTCAGTATTGGTGTTGATGCACAAGTTGCTTTGGACTTCCATCGCACCCGTGAATCTCCTTTCTATTTATTCAGTAGCAGAATATTTAATAAGGTAAGAAGCCATGAATGCTAGGATATCTATCTGGATGTTTTAAACTTGAAATAGCTGTAGAATGAAAATAATAAGTTATTTAAATACATATGTGTTTGTTGTTTTAATATTATTTTTCCAAGAATTTTGAGTAACTAGTTCTTTCAGATCTTGTACCTAGGTTATGGAACTCAGCAAGCTGTTGAAAGAAGTTGTCAAGACTTAGAGAAACGCCTGGATTTATTTCTGGATGGAAAAAAAATGGAGCTTCCTTCTATTGAATCTGTTGTTATTTTGAACATTCCTTCATGGGGTGCTGGAGTTCATTTGTGGACAATGGGTATTTATTTGTTTCAGCTTGTTACAAGATGTAATCAACTTCCTTTACTATGCAAAATGTCAGATTTATAAAACAACTTTCTTTCATATTCTTGTGTCTGATGCAAATTTCCAGTACTTGTCAGGCTATTTTAACTCTCCAGTATACACATCCTTGACTAACGACAAGTGCACTTGCATGGACCATAAGTTCTCAAGAATGTGCAAAGCAGGGAATTGCTTCAATTTTCTTCTTTTGTGAAGCTATACTATCCTGAAAGTGACAATACTAGTCCACCTTTTCATTTTCAAGGGTTTTGAGAAACATGTGATGAAAACAATTGTAATGAGGATACCACTTAACTTTTCTATAAAATCAGGTTCGTTTAAGGAGTTAGAGTTAGATAGACAGACCAGAGCACATTTCTAAAAATAAAATATTTAACATTTCAAACATTAAAAATAAAATTCATAATGCATAACAAAGTTTAAGATCAGCAATACAAACGCATCTGAAGATTTAAAGTTAAATTAATAACACCAGAAAATGAATAGAGTAGCTTATACACTTCCCTTCACAATTATATATGGATGTGTCCCAACAAAACATTGCAGTGCAGAATTCAAGAACTGAATAAATCTATTTGTGTTCAAGCAAAGCGCCATGATGGTTTGAAGATACAAACGTTTACACAATAATCCATGAAGACCAATAACGAGGATCACAGATATACTTACTATTTTGCTTTAACCACTTTTCCAACAATTTCCCATCAGAATATGAAAAATTGAGATTTTATTGGGAAGTATAATATAACACATCAGAAATTGCAACACTCCCAAAAAAGGCTCTTTCTGAAATAAAAAATGTCGTTCCAAAAAATTAGAAAATATAAGCTCCTTATGACACAAATGTAGAAAATCACTGCACATCATTTAAAATACTCCAGAAATGTTTGTCCTCAAACAGCGTCACTGGGAATGAATGAAGTATGTTTTCTCCTGTAAATTCCTTCATTTGTACATTTCCACATCTCTTTGGGCTGGTAAATTTTGAGTTCATTGGCAACAAGACGTTTTCATTTCAATTATGTCAGGAGATAACTTTTTATTCCTATGCATGTTGGTGCTAGAAGCTTTTATCTTTTATTTTCCAATTATTAAATTTTTTTTGGTAATTTGAATTTATTCTCTTTCTTAAGCAATTTTTTTATTTTGTAATTTTTCAGTGATTTCCTGCTTCTGTTCTGTCTGCTCAGCCTCCACCTTCTTAGCATGCCATCTTGTGCTTCTTGCATTGGGGTAGACTCTCCATATTTCTTTCATTTTTAATTTAATTTGTCTTCACTCTCAATCAGTTAAAATTTTTCATTTTTGTCAGATATCTAGTACGTACTTAAGTTTTTTTAGTGTTATAACTATATATTTAAATTGTATATAAGCATTCACTTTTCATTAAAAAAAATTATTTATTTATTTTAAATTTTATAAATTATATATCAGGACATCTCAGAATAATTGTTATCAATTTTTGAGAGATGTGGAGGGGTAAAAGTTCACTTTTTGCTAACGCACATAGAGTGCGATATTTCATACAACAGAATTACACATGTAACATTTGCTAGTGATTGTTATAAAACTTTTTATGCACAGGTCTTCAGCAGGTCACTTTCTGACACGCTCAAGGAGATTTCAAGTACCTGCTGTGTACTTGTGCTTATAGGTTTACCTAACTTTCAGAGACAAATATCACATGTGTAAAGTCATTGAAGTTTCCCATCACTTGTTCAAAAAGTTATTATGTTCAACCCCTCTACATATGCTAGAAGTTTGCAACATTTATTCTTGAGACATACTGTACAGCTGTATAACGTATTTCCCATATTGCAAAATAAAAATATTTATCCTGTTACTGTAATTAATGTAATTGAATAAAGGTTTATCTTTGCCTTAAAAGGTTAACTACATTTTTTTAAATCACTATTTTTTAAGTTTGTAGGAAACTCAAGATTCACATTTCTTGCAAGTAACTTAGAAAAGATGATTAATTGGATTTGAAGGTTTGGTTCTAAAATTTTTTTCAGTTAATTTTGTGCTTTATTTCAACTTTTACTTAATTTTTTTTTATTCTGTTATTGCCAGAAAATAATCTTGTTTCCTATGATAAGTCTATTATTAAGAAAAAAGTTAAACGTAATAAAATTTTGACTTTCTTTACTTGCAAGGCACCTTCATTAATGCATTGATGATAAATTTTATGAAAATCAGTAGATTAGTTTAATTATTGAATAGAGAAATTTATGATAAACCTACTTGTTTTGATAATTTTGTAAATAATTTTTGGTGTGATGATAAGTGAAGGAGTTAATTTTCGCATCTTATGGTTCAAACTATTTGTTTCAGGGGATGAAGATATTCCTGAACAAAGCATTTCTGATGGTAAATTGGAAGTTGTAGCTCTCTTCAGTTCATTCCACATAGCACAACTTCAAATGGGACTGTCCCAGCCTCATAGAATTGGCCAAGCAAGCAATATTAAGGTAGGAAACTAGCTCCATAAATTTTTTTCCAAGTTTGGAAAGTCCTTAAGGAACACATATTGCTTGTTGCTTTAGTGAAGTAGTCCACATTGTTTTATTTTTGCTTTCTTGAATGTGCACACGTAATATTCATAGTATAGAGAAAGTTACATAATGCTGTAAAAAAAGTGATTTCAACGGAATACACATTTTGCTGTTTCCTGATATTGTTGCTTAAAATGTCCCTCTGACTGAAGACTTCAGAATTTTTTATTTAAATTTTTTGTAAGAGTAGAGTGACATACGCTTATGCACGCAGCATTGAATTAATTTTACCTGTAAATTCTGAATTTTTGAAAATAGCAAAAGTTTGTGATTTTTTGTATCCCATTGTACAACTACATTATTGAAGATAAAGAATTTTTTAAAAATAAAATTTATTCTTCAGCATCAGTTCTTTTATTAGTCTTGTGTACATTTTTAAAATTTTTTAAAATATTAGTTGTGTGTGCATTATGGAGTGAAATATGGAGAATTTTGAAAAGAAGATTTTTTCAAAAAAGGCTCCAAATTTTTTCATTGAACTGTTACACAGATATTGCAAAATGCAATGAATAACAGTGCATAAATGCCATTTTTAAATGTTCTTTTAATTTTTCAATAATTACACAAATGTAATGATTTTTTACAAATGTTACTTTTCAGAAGTGCTTAAATGACATATTCTCAAAAAGGACTCCAATTTCTTTCTTTAAATGATTTATAGGAATAGAGCTAAATGCACTGAGTATCAACACTGTCCTTTTAAATTTTAAAAAGTTAAAAAAAAAATTAAATATCTTTCAACACGCTATGGGCATTTTATATACATTATTGCATTTATGAGAAGTGGTGCTTCAAATGATTTCTTAGGAGTTTCTTCAAAACTCAAAAAGGATTTATGAAATAAGCTCAAAATTTCACATTTTTATAAACACTGGAACATTTTCTCCAAACCTGCTCAAAATTTTTCAATGAAAATTTGCATAAAGACTAGGATTCTTTAATATTCTTAATCATATTCTAATTGTACTATTATATTCTGAGAGGAGGTAGGGGCAAAATAAAAAAGCTAGCCTAGACTAAAAATATTAGGAAAATAACTGGTACAAGAAAGTCTGTCATTCTGTAGCATAAGTAAATGCTTTAGGAAGGCTTAAAATATTGTTTTATTTTTTAGATTGTTCTTAAATCACATGCTGCAGTCCAAGTGGATGGAGAACCTTGGCAGCAGCCACCAGGTGTGATAAATATAACATTTCATAATCAAGCAACTGTACTCAAGTATGAAAAGAATTCTTAGATTGTTTTTGTACAAATTTACCTTGAGGTATGTGACTTAATGTTTTTATAATAATTATACCAACATGATTTATATGTGAATATTTTAGATGGAATTGCATTATTCTGAGATAAAATGTAACATTTGTGTGTATTAATATAAATATATATATATATATATATTATTAAAATGTATGTCTTTTCGGTAAAAGTGTTTACTTGATTATTTTTTCAGTATTTGTTGGGGTTAATAAACTTATTGAATTTTTGAAGATTCTAGCAATCTGCTGTTTATGAGTGGTGCAAGATGTTTACTTGTTTTCAGACACCCCCTCCACTCCTCCACTTAGCACCACCAAGCTAACAGAAACAAAAGGGATCATAGGAATGGACATGCATGAAATAAACAACATAGCCGTAATTAATTTAAGCAGATTTATTAAGGCCACTACCATAGCCCAGAACGGATCTCAGCACAGTCTTTGGTGCCGTAATCAGTCAAGTACGTAGCCAAGTCCTTGTGGCGAATCGCCCCTTGGGCCAGTCTTCTACGAAGGGGATACCAGCTGGATACAATCTTGCTTGTGTGAACCCCAGTTACACTGTTTCCAGTTCATATCTTTTCAGAATGCCTGGAAAATTATTTTAAAATCCTCGTCAGAGATCATTGAATACTCCCAAACATTCGATTTCAATCATGCTTGTGATTTACAAGCAGACCTAAAATTCCTCGCTTCCCGCTTCACATCTTGTGTATGTTTTTCATGTTTCTTTCTGTGATACCCTTTTCATGAAGAATTTTATTTTTATTTGACTTCCACTCATTTGGATTGCTCTACCTCTCCTCTTTCTTCTTGTAGTCACACCATCTCATACAGGATTTGAAGTTCCATTACTTTCACTATGTGTTTGAGTAGGATCATCCAGTTCATCCTCATCAACAAACATATCGGGATTGTCTCCCATTTCTTCAACATGAAAGCCATTTCTGCAGTCGTGGTTATCTATATCCGCACTGTTATTTTCATACTGTGCTGGTGTTCCTAATTTTTTACTATCCTCTCTTCAACATACATAACCAGGTGTTTATTGGATAGAATAGCAATATTGTTTATATTTGCATTAAGAGGACAGAATGGAAGCACAATAGTGCTCTTTAATAGTTGGCAAATCGAGTACAATCCCGTCTTCAGGAAGTGGTAAATCAAATAGCACACTGTCCATTTAATTGGAGTCTTCTACTTCAATTTCTAACATTGAAGCAGCCAAAGCAGGTGTCTCAGATGCAATAGGTGACATTCTCATTACCTACATAAAGGGCATTATTTATTTATTAACTCTGCTGTAACTCAAATGGTCATGTTACCATGGTTAATATTATTTTTGTTCTTTAAAGTGAGAGTGTAGGTTATTTGCTTGAACTAACTTGTCAGTTGGACTGTTTGTCAAAAACTAAAATGAAAATACTTACAAAGTCTCACTTTCGAAAGTTCTGGCACTACCAATGTTGAAGTGAAGCTGGATTTTGCTGCGCAAAAATTAATTTTGGTTCTGATCAGAGTTTATAAGAAGTCATATCATAGCAAAAGCAATGCACTAACAAAAAGATGGACATAATGATTATTATGCTGGAGCAATATGTTAATGATCTGCATGTTCTCCTTCAGGTTGCTTGGGTGGGTTTATTATATAACTTTCTTTGCGTAGTCATTTGTCCTCATTGCCACTCTCTGACATGATTGCCTAGCTCCGAAGGTAGAATCTTCATAGTGTAAGACATTCTGAATTACCATTATGTGACAACTTTGGTCTAACTTTGTTGTAGAAATACTACAGGAAACGTTTTGGAAACTATTGTTTGTGGGCTATACAAAAATTGAACCATTAGTTGTCAGGTTATGAGATACTCATATCTACACTTACAAAACAATGGTTTTTATAAGGATACCATGTTATTTACTGATGAACTACAGAGATGATTTCAAATAAATAATATTGCTAGTACGATTAAAATAGAATGTGCATTCAAGAGGAAGTATTATATAAATGTGCAATTCATTCTCAAAACAAGTCTTACACTCTGGAAAATACAAGAAAAAAATTAAAAAATACGCACACTTACCTACCCTTTGGCAGATGCTGTAACTCTAGACATCAGCTGCAGATACATGGTATCACAGTAAAATAATTCATGCTGTAGATACAAGATGGCGTTATAATATCTTGAAGTCTGTGATATATATATATATAATTAATAATATATATATATATATATATATATATAATATATATATATATATATAATATAACACCACACACCACCACACACCACACCACACCCCACACCACACCCACACACACCACACCACACCACACCACACACACCACACCCACACACCACCACACCACACACACCCACCACCACACCAACACACACCCACCACACCACACCTCACCACACACCACCACACCACACACACCACACCCACACCCACCAACCCACACACACCACACACACCTCACCACACACACCTCACCACACACACCACACACACCACACCACACACACCACACCACACACACCACACCACCACACACCACAACACCACACCACACCACCACACACCACACAACACCACACCACACACACCACACCACACACACCACAACCACACACACCACACCACACACACACCACACACACACACCACACACACACACACAACACACCACACACACCACACACACACACACACCACCACACACACACACACCACACCACACACACACCACACCACACCACACCACACCACACACACACACCACACCACCACCAACCACACCACACACACCACACCACACACACCTCACCAACAACACACCTCACCACACACACCACACCACACCACACACACCACACCCACACACACCACACCACACACACCACACCACACACACACACCACACACACCACACCCACACACACCACCACACACCAACCACACCACACCACACCACACACACCCACACCACACCACACCACACCACACCACACACACACACCACACACACACCACCACGAACACACCACACACACCACACACACACACACAACCACACACACCACACACACACCACACCACACCACACACACCACACACGACACACACACACACAACACACCACCACAACACACACCACCACACACACACACACACCACACACACACACCCACACACACACACACCCAGCACACAACACACACACACACACACCACACACAACCACACCACACACACACACAACCACAACACACACCACACCCAACACACACACACCACACAACCACACACCACACCACAAACACACACACCACACACCACACCACACCACCACACCACACCACACACACCACACACACACACACCACACACACACACACCACACACACACACACCACACACACACACATACACACACACCACACACACACACACACCACATACACACACAGACAGATACATATACAAGGTCTTCAGAGATAGATTCAGGACATTTTTGTAATAAGACAAAACCTTCCTTTTGGCAAAAATGTCATTTAGAAGGTCTCTGTCCATAACCCTCAATTTATTTCTGTAATTCTTTTCATAACATTCATACCTTAAGTTCTGTTTACATATTTTTACCTGAATACTTTTTGCATTTAATACTAGTTTTATCAGCATGAATTTACAATTAGCTCTATAATGTATCTGAATTGTATCGTTTTAAGAAATGTTTATATTGCCTGTCTCATATTTTGATTAGTTATTGTATCTCTTATTTGGAATAGTTGAAATGATTTTGATACTGTTGACTTTCTTTTGCTTGTTAATCCCAAAATGGCTGCCAGCCATACTATCATTAGCTGAGATTGTTGTTATCTTTTCTTTTCTTCATTTTGTTTATATTGTGGTGTGAAATGTTAGCAAATAAACCAATCCAACCTCTCTTGCCAAGATCTTTTAATTTTGAATACAGGAATCAAAACTTCTTCCATTAACATTTGCATGTTGCTTACGTTCGAGTAAATAGAAGTAAAATATCAATCCTTTAACTTTCTTTCTGATGATATTATGTGGTCAATTCAAAATTACCTTTTTTCAGTTCAGTAGAGATATTGAAGTAATAATTTAATTTACAAGGCAAGGAAGTATGTTTCCTTGACTAGATGGGGAGTTGACCTGCACACTTTTGTGATTTGATGTACAATATTTCATTTGAGACTTCAGTTTTTTGACAATTTGTTCATGTGACATACAAATTTAATAGACAATAACAAGAACATACTATGTATTTTTCTGTTCGAGGTTTGGTGCGTTTCTTTTTTTTTTTCTAATTGTTGTTCCTTTGTTACTCATGTTGAAAGTACTTTTGGTACTTTTAAGGCCAGTATTGAAAACAGGTGAACTTTCATTTCCAAAGCACTTTCTAAAGAGTTTCGAATAAAACACATTTTTCTATTTTGATAACATTTTTATGATTCTCTATTTTAACTTCTTTGCTATCTAAACTGTTCAACTCCAAAAACACTTTCTAGAAAATAATAATAGCAATGTAATGAATGTAATCAGAGTTGAAATAATTAACCATTTTTACTGAAGTAAACAAATTCCATTTGCTATCATTACTCCTATTCACTAAACATTGTATGATTACATCAATTCTCGACAAATGCAGATTTGCATAAATACACATGTAATAGCTCATAGCATGGATGACTAGCTCCAAAGATTCCTAATGTAAAAATCATAACAAGACATTGTGTTGTGCTGTTCATTGACATTTTGATATTATTTATTTAACTGATTTTAAAAATGAATAACAAAACTTTGAACTAATCAGTTTTGCCCATTAATTTTTTATCATTACATTTAATTTCATATTCAGGCAAACAATACCTAATATGAGAATAAAGTATTTATAATTTTATATAATCACCTGTGTCAATACCTTGCAGATATTTATTGATCTTTTGGGAATAAACATCTATAAATATTTACTTTTGAAAAATAATGTATTGTAATATACTCACATTTATTTGTAATCAAAATGCTTTATTTTAATGGAGACTGAACTGAAGAGTGTTTAACTTAGGTTGAAGTCCTCCCACTCAAAGTCTATTCATTATGCTGAGATGGCCCCTTGTTTTGCTTCTGGACAATAAAAATAAATGTAACTTTACTTGCTGCTCCCAAGATGTATTTATATTTATATCATATTTGACTCGTCATACACGATTGTAATTGTATATGTGACTCAATAAATATTATTATTATTATTATTATTATTATTATTATTATTATTATTATTATTATTATTATTGGATAGACTGAGGATTTTAAGAAAAAGAAATGTCTATTTTATTCCTCATCATAGAAGTGTGAGGTTTTGTATTTTCATTTTTAGTATTATCTAAGCATAAATATGCAAATATAAAAATCCCTTTTTTGATGTTAGTGCCAATTTTTGCTTATTTCAGCCCTTGTTTATTTAATTTATTCTCTGTTCCCCTAATTTGGTTATTTCCCAAAATTTCTACATTTATATATTTTTATATTGGGTATTTTTTTACAAAATTTGTGATAGTATTATTAACCCTTAATTAGTCACATTGGATCATCCCCAGATTTCTGTTAAATGAAATATTATTGAAATAATTATATGCATTGTCATTGCCAACAATATTACATTGTAACAACAATATATTGTTGACAATGATGACGCATATAATTATTTCATTAGAAATGCCAACGATAACTCACCACAATACCTATAAAATATTATTATCCAACTTTTGTAGAAATCACAATAGCTTGTTTGTGTCAGTGTGCTGCAGTCAGGCAATCTACTGCAAGGAAGTATTTTGCTAACATGTTTCTTGTGCTACATCCTACAAGTATCATTGCATTGCAAAAAATGTTATTTCATTAATGACTAAATTAATTTACAGATAACTTCACAATGGTATTTACAGTTGTTGTTTTTGTTTTTTTTAATTATAAAACTAAATACATTTAAAGATAAAATGTTGGTACTTTAAATATCATTTTAATGTAAATATATGATAATTAAAGAGCCTTTTATAAGACCCTAAAACATCATGTATAGAGTCTAAATACAACATTAAAAAGCCTACATTAGGCATATAAAAGATGGTTTTTATCTCCTAAACTTACACTATTTATTAACAACAAAGTAGAACATGTTTCTCCAATGTAATGTTATTGTATTGGTAAAAACCGTGACCTTTTGGAATTGAATTCAAATTGTTAATCATCATTAGCTATTAGACATTGTTAATCAACAATTTGAATCTGCAGAAATGTTATTTGTATTTGCTTTATTTGTTCAACATTTTCTTGTTTGCCTGAGTACTTTTGCAGTGCAAAACATTTGTATCAGGATTATAAACAGTCATTTATTAATGCATTGATTACACATTCAGTAGAGAGAATTTTGATCGTCGCCGAGTGGATTTTCAAATTTCGCGCGTTATCTCGTATTGTGCTGGTCAGAAAGTTTGGGTATCAATAAGGCATAATTGTATCCCTATGAAATTATTGGTTCTTGGGTTTTTTCTTAGAAGCATTTGTCTCAACGATTTGTCATTAGTTTCAATTAAGTATTGGGAAAAAAAAAGAATGCCACCAATGAATCTTTGGAAGCATCCGGAGATTCTAGAAGCTTGCCCTCTCTCGAAGAATCTTACTCCCACGACTCGACGTTATTGGTTGAGTTGCAGAACAGTAGGGTGTTCAGACATTCGTTCATTGGTCGACTCTCACGAAGAGGGTGCAGCCCACAGGTCTGTGGGCGAGAAGTTCTAGCCTTTTCTAGAATATTCATCTCCGTCATATATAAGCTGTTCGACGAGTCAATTTGTGTATTATGTCATATTCATTCCGCAACAGACCGAAGCTGAGTGATCGGTACCGTGGAAAATCTGGTGACGAAATATTGAACGAACTGAAAAATCAAATTGATGAAGATAGGAAGATGTTCTTTGAGTCCAGTCCTGATTGGAATTCTGTGCAGTCGCCTGGATCTTTTAGCAGAGTAAGTAGGAGTTAAACTTTTAATTCTAGTGTTTTGATCGTATTGTAAAAGGAAGTTAAGTGTTAAAAAGTATTAGGATTTGCTGAGTCATTGTTGCTCCAGTTTTGAAGGTTATAAATTGTGGAAAAGTATATTTGTTGATGTGCGCTAACGAATTAAGTTTCACCTCGTCCTTCCCCAAACCCGACGAAACTTTAAATTTGCTCATTATTTTCTGATGTAGTTTAAAGATTTTTTTAATGCTTCTTCACTGAGTATGTACTCGTATCGTTATTACAAAAAGGCATTGCTTTGTACAATTTATAAAGTCCCGTGAACTGTTAATTTATTCGTGCTTGTGAATTGCAGTGGCGCAACAAGCCTTCTTGCAGGTGTTAAGCGTCGTCTACAGTTAAGTGTAATTTATTAAACCGTCTCTAAATAGAGGGAAATGATCTATTTTTTTAAATTAATTTCTAATATTACGATCAATATTGCGGGCGTGCCTTTTCGTTGACATATGTTTCATTGCTGTATGCATAGCTAATTTTAACCAAAAATCCTTTTCATTTTTTTTTCCGTATCGACCGTACGTTGCCAGTTGTATCTGCCGTCGCCAGAAAGTTCTTTAGGAGTTGTGCAAGGATCTACAGTAGTTTTTGTCGGCGTAATTTTGAATAACTGAAGTGGTGGTATTAGATGTGAAAAGGAATATATAGTGATTCACAGGATAGTTTTAGCAACACGATTCCCCAGAAGCATGACGTTCTGTGTTATTCGGAGCACTGAATGCCTTTCGTGTTATTTCGCGTTTCCTGTCTTCCTCTGCCGCGCGAACACAGCATCCCGAATGCCACTAATATAAAGAGATCAGAAATCGTGAATCTGTTCGAAGCGATGACGCAACTGCAATGCGTCATCACTTCGCAGTTTCCTTGTAAGTAGAAACTCAAGTATGGGAAGTTGGTTTCAGGGCGTTCATTCGGGTGTCAGTTCGAACCGTACGGAAGCTTTTTTTTTTTTAGTTAAGATAATTTGTTGAAATTCTCAAGTAATTTATTTCAGAGTAAAGATTTGCAATACTTGGCGAATTAAGCATTTCTGAAGGTGTGTAACTTTCCGTGGATACGTGGAGAAACGGGACATGCAAGTCGCTGTCTTAAAATAGTCACGACGCCGGAGTTTGATGACATTTGACGTATGCCAAGTGGGATACATTGAAGCTCGAGTTGAATCTATTATGGATTTTAGATTCCTTCGTATCACGGTCAAAGATTTACGGATGATAATCTTTAAATTTCCTTTGTTCGATTATTTACTATATGTTGCAAACCTCTTGAGTGATCGTCAGGTATTTTTTTCAACGAGCCCTTATTCGTTTTGATTCTCAAATATTTGAGTAACTGGTGTGAACTCGTTCATAAGTCGACAGTCGATCGTAGTGTATTTCGTGACTGACCTTGTGCGATTTGGCATGCATGAATGTAGGTCTTGGGTTTTCGAATACGCAAGATTTCCACGAAATATTAATGTGACATTTAGGCAAGATGCCATTATTTATTTGTGAACAATGTGACCCAGAGTCCTAGCTTAAATGAGGTGTAAATAGTATTTAATAGAAGTGTTGTAATGACAAAATTTACAAAAGCATGTGAATCATACTTTAAATATCATTGGTTTACCAAATACTTTGCATAGCCAAGTATTTTGTCTTGTAAATTTAAGTGGCATGTGTCCAGGCAAAGATTCAAACAATGGATAAAGTAAGTTGTTTATTTGAAAAGCTGTAGATGCCCTAATTATAGTTGCTATTTTTCATTATGACTTCGAAGTTGTTAACTTCTCTTTACATTGTTGTTCAGTAGTATCAGTAAAGTTTAGATGCAACATTTTGATAAAGAGAATATTAGCTGTTTAATTCTAAAATATGTGTGTATATAATATCTGATAATCTGTCAAACAGGATATTAATCATAAAGCTAACAGTGTTGAATTGTATGAACTAATTATAATCAGAGGTTCATCTGGGAGGGGAGGCGCCTCATGGGGCTGTAGTACCCCCACCCCACCCCAGGTGAATGATACGTATTAAAAGGAATAGTTTTTACTAATTTTTTGTACTAAAGTCATTCAGTATATTAATAGTTTATGTAATAAATATGAACTATAAGTCAACAAACAAAACATTTTGTACTCGGTATAAATGAAAAATTCTGAATACAAAAACATCACATTCGCTGGACAACATACCTGCAGCCTGCCTTCCAGAAAAGAAAATCCTGGGTGTGCCTCTGGTTACACTATGACCTGAGGCACACCCAATGACTTACATTTAAATTGTTTATTTCTAGGATGCTTTTCATTAGGCTTTTACATTTTCATTTTTTCTTAGTTTTTATTCTTGCCAAACTAATTTATTGCTGTTGGTCAAATATATTTTTCACGTAAACTTCCTTAGATTGTAAAGATTAGTATTGTTAATTTTGTTCGTCTCACATTCATCATCAATATCAAGAGTAACTTTGTTGAATCACCAAGAAGGCTTAAAAATTGATTATGTTTTTTTCTGAATTTGTGATAGTTCTTTTAGTTAATCATAAAACGTAGTTCAGTTTTTTTATGATGATCTACAATTTCTCTAACTAGTTAAAAGTTTCCTTTACATGGAATCACATAATTTTTATAGTATCTTAATTTTTAGGGTGTGCACATTTTTAATTTTTTAATCCGTAAGCGTAAGACTTGCATATTTTTAGGATCAAATTCTTAATCTTACCAGTAGGATCAAATTATAATGACTACCTAAAATCTACTTTGATGTATTGCTTCCTGACTCAGTAGTAGGGAGAAAACAACATACTGATATGTAGAACTGATTTTCAGTCAAAACATGCTATGTTTCAAGAAAATTGATGCCCTTCATAGAAAAATACGGATTTTATTAGTGTTGAAGATTGGTAATGAATGCTGTACTAGAGAAGCTATAGATCATACAAAGTGTAAACAGACAAAATAAGTAAAATTTGTTTAACCAATTTTTGTCTATGTAAGTAACCATGCTTTTTCTTTTATTTCAGGCTGGTCATCCACTAGATGACATGATGTCAAGAGGTCGCCAAGATATTCGTTCACATTTAGATGATCTGGCACAGAGGCATCCAGAATTTGCGGATCATCTTAGATGTCCACCTTGGGGAGGGGAAATGGGTGCTTCATCCCGTGGCACTTGGGGTAGAAAACGACGTGGTTCAGGTTCTAGTGGTGATGATGCTACCAATCAGGAATCACCAATGCCAGAGTGTTCTGAGGAAGCCAGTCCTTCGCGTGGGAGGTCACGCCAAAACAATCTCCCACAGTACGGATTGCGAAATACTGTAGACCTTGGTCAGCAGCAGCAGCAACAGCAGTGTGAAGATCAGGAAAAAACACGTGGGCAGAGATCTTGGTCTGCTCCACCAGATAATCGAACTCAAAATCCTCCAGATCCACCAAGATTTGTTTCCAGGTTGGATATTCCTGTAAATCCTATGCCCAACAATCCAGGACCTGATCAGGGTAAACCCCCTGTTGCTCCTAAACAGCAACCATCACAACCACAGCAGCCACGTGTGCCTCAGCAAACCCAACAGCCACCAAATACCACAAATAAAGCAAGTCAGCAACCAGGAAGTAATGTAAGGCACATTCCTATTTTTGTGGAAGGAAGGGATGAGCCATTACTCCCAAAAGCAGCTGCGGGAACAGGTGATGCACCAACAGAAAGAATATTTACAGAAAGAGTTCCACCGCAACCTACCACATTTAACTACGGCCGTCCTTCATATTTCACAGCTCGTCAGAATCAACAGCCAACTCCGCATATGTCACAGCCATCTCCGCAAATGCCTCAGCAGACTGCATACAGCCAGCAAGCACCTCCTCCGAAAGCGAGGAGTTTTGCACAACAGCAACAAGTTCCTCCTCATCATCAACCTCCTCCTCCACAGCAGCCAAAACAAGAAAACACTCAGCAGCAAGAGCAGTCCAAAGGCGCTCCACATCCTCACAAGCAGCCAGTTGGAAATGATCCGATTTCTCGAGTACAAGCTATTCAGAAGGATGTTAATGAACTGAAGCTTAAAGTGGATAATTACAGTGGTAATTCTAGAAAAGATAAAGATTATATGTACTTGGACGAAATGCTTACTAGGAATCTTCTGAAATTGGACAATATAGAAACAGAAGGAAAAGATGATGTAAGGCAAGCAAGGAAGGCTGCAATTCGTAACATTCAACAGTGCATTAGTATTCTTGAATCAAAAGTTCCCAGCCCAGATGATGTCTGCCAAAACAGTTCTGAAGATGTAGTTAAATGTACTGAACATAATGTTGAGCAGTCATCTGAACAGGTTTCTGGTATGTGCCCAGAATCAGAAATTGAAACAAAAGATGTGTGTTCAGAGTCTTCAGTCCCACAAGATTCTCAAGTTATTAGCGGACAGAAAATGGAAGTTGAAAATTTGCCACAAACAGAAGTTGCAGAAAGCTCCAGTCAGTCAGGGCTTGCAATGGAGACTGAGCCGGTTGAAGCAGTGAATGAAAGTACTCAGAAAGCTAAATTGGAGTCGGATTCTCAGGAAGGGATGGTTTCCAAACGGCCTGAAAAAGAGTTGGCTCCTCAAGACAGTGAAAAAAGTGAAAATGTTTCAAATAAAGAAGCTGATAGCTGTTTGCAGCAGTCAGATATGAAAGTAGATGAAAAGACAGTTACAGGTGAACAGTTACAAGAACAGATGGAAGTTAATACTTTGTGCGGTAAAGATACTCCGCCAGTTCCTGCTGGTGATGAGAAGGCAACTGGTTCTTCTCTAACAGTGGATGGTAGTCCAAATAAAGCTACAAAAACAAAATCTCCTAAAGGATCCCCCAAGAAGGGAAAACGTACAACTTAAGGATGGGAGAAATGTTCCTATTTATTGTAATTGTCATGTGAAGGAGTACTGTCTGTTAATTTTATATGGAGTTAAAAGTATTATTTTGGTCTATTTATTAGTTGGCTTGTCAACAATTTTATTACTGAATAGTTTGATATTTGATCAAAACTTACAAATTGTAAACGTTTATACTTATGTTTGCTCTCTTTGGATGTACAGAATTATAAATAAGATGCTAATTCATAGCAGATGTATTTAATTGGATACAAGCAATACTTATAACTATTGTTCATTGAGAGGGAAATAAGTAGAAACACGATGAAAATAGTTTCTAAACAAAGTAGATAATTATATCTTACAAAATGATTCTCAACGTTTTGGATAATAACATTTGTGTGTTGATTCTCGAATATTATTTATTTTGTAATAATGAGTGATTGTGATAAAGGTTGTCTTGTGTTAATTGAGTGATCATTTTTTATAGCTTATTGTGTTCCATAGTATTATGTTGCCAAAGAATGTAGTTAAAAATAATTGGTTTTTTATTAAGCTGTGATACAATGCTTACAGCAAGAGCTGCAATAGCTTTATTGTTACTCCAGCACTTGTCATATGTAAATTGCCGTAAACTCAGTCTTGAAGTATACTCAGGACTCTAGAAAATAAATATATATACTTTTGTATCTAGCCTGTACAAATACATGTAAATAAATTTGGTTCTGAATTACATTATTAGTTTGTTGTTTAAATCCTGTGCACTAAAAACTGATACATTAAGAAATCCATGGGTCAACTTCTTATTGCATTAATTTGTCTCTTTTAAGTTCTCAAAAAGTAGACGAGAATGAATAATATGTAAAATCAGCCACATTGAAGAAAGATGTTTGTCATGGCATGAACATATCAAAATAGTGCATTTGCTCGTGTTTAGCTGAAAGTGATGAGGGAATATAGTTGTACTTTTCTCCTTTCGTTTTTTTTGTTTTGCTTCCTCCTGTCTGCTCACTAAAAGAGGCTGCTGCAGAGGTAGAGTAAGTGCTGTGGTCATGGACATAAGGAACTAGTTGCCACTTGCTTAAAAACGAGCATTATATAAAACATTAAATACATGTCGATGTGAAAATCATTAACCACTGTTATTCAGTTCAATGGCTGAGCTAAAGTTGTATTATAAAAAACTTAGAAATGAAGTGGAGTGAGGTCACTTCAATGTGCAATTCACGTACTAGAAGTATGGTAAAAGTTGGAGTATTATGTATTTAATAATGAATTGGCTTTCTGATATTAATTTATATCACTTGTGAATCGTCTTAGTCAAAACGTGCATGTATTCTACATAGAATTTTCTGAGTCACAGGTTGCAAATTGAAATCACATACAGAACAATTTACTTCAAAAATGAGAAAGCTGAGATAGTTATTTGATAAAAGTTGATTACATTTGTTTTACAGAAAATTAATCTTTTATGTTCTAATTTTAATTCTGACTTTGGCAACAAGCTTGTGAATCTGAATCTGAAACTAATTGGCATTGAAAAATAATGTTGCACTCTAATGAACTTAAAGGTTTTCTTTCACTTCCAGATTTATTGAAGAATAAGTTCAAAGTGAATTTAAATTTTAAATTACATTGATAGTTACAATGGTGTACTTTTAAAACAAGTTATAAGAAGAGAAATGTAATAAAAAATTGTCAATATTATGTATGAAGAGTTTGGGGCAGAAACAGCATAGGCCATAGCAACTTTACTTTTCATAAGTGTTAAAATTTTGACTTTGATTGAAGTGCCTCCCCTCGTGTTACAGTCCCCAAACGAGACTTTTAGAAGATAGGCCACACTTCAACCAAAGTTTTCGAATTAACATGTACAAATAGTGGGAGGCTTGTAGCTGGTGTGGATGGTTATTGACACAAGGCCTCAATTTTGAATAATATTTAAACAATTAAGAACTTTTTTTTTCTTGTAGAAATGCTGTGTATCCCTGTTTATATTTATTAGGTCAAATGTGCAGATTTGAGAAGTTATATTTATGTGACACAAATAAAGGCATTTCAATTTTATTTGTTCATTCATATTAGAATTTGATTATCTTTGAAAAAAATTGCACATTATTAATGTCTGATACAGCTGTGTTAACGAGGGAATAAAACCATTTTGTGTCTTTCCAAAGTCAGAAAACAAAATCAATCCTTAATAGTTTGAAAATAAAACAAATAAATTAGATTTCTTTGTCCTGTTTCATTTTCGAGAGGGTTAATAAAAAGCCATAATTTAGATTAGGTAAAAACAATTAACTACAGTAAATCAGGTTTATTTACTGAAAAAAAAACTATGCGATATATGAGGGGAAAGATCATCTGCGCACTTTTTTTTTTCAGAATAGTTTACTATTAATTGGTTATTACAAAACCAATTTGAAACTTCTGAAATCGTACTATGTATTGTTTCTTTTTTGCAAAGAACATTGTCAACAGCAAACAGAACTATTCTTCCGTTTTTAATAGATGAGAGTATCGTTTACGTACAACAGAAAGAAGATTGGGCCTAAGACCGAACTTTGCGGGAGCCCATATTCAATTGGTAAAGAATTGAAAAGATAAGTAAATAATGTCTTTTCGTACCAGTACGGTAATTCTACTCCTTGAAATCAATGCTTAAGGTACGAAGTTATCCAATCTAAGGCGATACCACGAATTCCATAAGAAGGTAATTTTGAAAGCAAAATGTTATGGTCAATAACGTCAAATGCTTTCGAAAGATCTAAAAATATTCCAATGGGTGCTTCATTTTGGTCCATTTATGAAGCAACATCTTTATGAAAAGAAAAAAAAATGGCAGTTTCCTTAGATTTTAATTTTCTAAACCCGTGTCGTGAGTCTTCGTTTCGTTTTTTTCTGAGAAAAGTTTCCATTCACGTATAGAAAAAGCTGTCTTGTATTTTTGAGAAAGCTGGCAAAAGAGAAATTGGCCGATAATTTTGGATTTCAATTTTGCTCCCTTGTTTTTTTTAAAAAAAAAGTGGCTTAATTTTCGCTGTTTTGAAAATATCTGGAAATGTTCCTGTGCATAAAGAAGCATTGAAAATGTGAGTTGACGGGTATATAAAGGCAGGTACACAAGTTATAAATAAAAAATCCGAAAATTCATCTAAACTAAATGAATATTATATTTTTTTAAATTACTAACTATTCTCAGGATTTCATTAGAAGTTTCGGAAATAGATATCGTGTTTTTGGGAAGGGATTGATGTTGAATTTTGCAGTTCTAGCCCCTTCGCGAGTTCAGCTGCAATTCTAGAAAAGTGTTGGTTGAAAAGATTTTACATTTTTTTTCCTTTTTTTTTTTCTCTCTTCGGATTACTTGCTTCTCTTTCATTATCCTTTAAAACAACATTCTCTACTAAGTAACGATATGATGTGGACGTATTTATTACGATATTCCACATTGCGTTAGTTTTGTTACTAGCGTTCAAAATATCCTGGTTATTTTGCATTATGCATAAGCCATAAATCGTATTAGAACAATTAGCCTGCGACTTCCAACATTTGAAACGCTTTGCAGAAACGATAGTGTAGGAGAGTGTAATATGTACTGGCTTCCCAATTTTTATAGGTTGAAGCTGGCAAGGTGAGTTCTTACAGTGCGCACCATGAAGACCTCGACGATCCATGTCTGTAACCGGCGGTCCTGAATGTAATTACATCGTAATATACATATCGGAAATGAATGCTCCACGGCCTTTCAACTCTCCAATGAAATGGGGGACGAAATTAGTGTGCAAAAATAGGGGCGCTAGAATCGCCGGGTACAGCGAGAGATTAGACTCGCCAACATGGCACATGAAAAATTTGATGCATTACTGGGGACAACAAATACGCGTAGATAAAGTACTTTTTAATTTAAAAAAATTGAAAAATACCGTCGCGATACAAAAAAGGAAGCATGAGTGTGTCATTTTCCACTAGGAGCTTATATTTGTCACACTTATCCATGCCTGGCTTATGTGGCAGCTCAATAACGTTGGCAACAATTTTAGTTCCCGCAAGAAGGTGCAAGGATGGAGCGCGCTACCGTAATTATCTGATGTTAATAACAGTACATTTACATCATGGTCTCCACCAGAACATCACAGAACATATCAAAGGATATAACTGATATGATGGAAATTGAAACTTGAAAGGTCCTGCCTGACGGGTCCTGAGCTGCTCAAACTCCAGAGAGTATTTTGGTGTCAGTTGATATTAATAGAATTTTGTACTACCACGATATTTGCATTTTTGTAGCATTTGTAATTGTACGAAAAACATGAGCAATTAGTTCAGTGTAGTAGTAGTAGTAGCAGCAGCAGCATTGCAAAGAGTACGATAGTGAAGTTGTTTTTTACAGCAAGTACTTGCAGTGATTATTTAATCCTTATTGGACATTGTGCGTGGAATGACACGAAATAACTCGCATTTCATTGTGAAAGCGAATCGTTGGTTTAACTCTATTTTACGGCCTGATGGATATTTTCCCAAATCTTGCCATTCTGGAATATAATGTACTTAGGAAGGTTTAAGTATGATCAGCTGAAATAAAGTGAACCAAAAATGATTAAGTGTTTGGAAGACCTACGGTCGGGAATTGTTGAACCATCTGCACTGGTGAGTGCTGAAAGAACAAAAAGAGCATATAATCTTCAATTAAGCAAGTACAGAGACATTGAAAGTGTACATTCGTCGGGTGTCAACTCCTTAGACTTAGATGTTGTTGAAAAGCATTATCTTCTCTCTGGGTGTGCTGATGGAACTGTTTATATTCATGATCTGTATAATTTTACGGGTCTCCCTCAGTACACATCAAAATTGATTTGTAGTGTTGACAAGACTAGTAGAAGTGCTCACCAGTACAGTGTAGAATGTGTGCAATGGTATCCATTTGATAATGGACTATTTGTGTCTAGTGGTATGGACAAAAAATTAAAAATTTGGGATGCAAACTGTCTGAAACCTGCAGAACAGATTTGTCTGGAAGGTCGAATATTTCAGCATCATATGTCTCCAATTGGTTCCAAACAATGTTTAGTGGCAGTTGCAAGTTCAGCTAGTGAAGTCATTTTAGTTGACTTGAAGTCAGGTTGTTATTCACATGAATTGCGTGGACATTCAGGTTCGGTTTTGACTTGTCGTTGGTCACCAAGAGAAGAAAATATTGTGGCCACTGGTAGCTGTGACAATAAAGTCATTTTGTGGGATGTGCGTTCATCAAAGTGTTTTTTAAAATCATTTTGCTTGTATAGCACAGATAATCAATCTGGAAGTCAGTTGACAAGTACAGCTCATGATGGTTATGTGAATGGGTTGTGCTTTACTGCAGATGGCTTGTTTCTACTTTCATATGGCACAGATAATAGATTGCAATTATGGGATGCCTACACAGGTGAAAATCAAATGGTGAATTATGGTGATATTCCTAATAGAACAAAAAAATGTGTTCAATTTGCAGTTAGTGTAAATACTAATCCAATCTTGGCATATGTTCCTTCAGAAGGTAACATATTTGTCTTCGAATTACACACAGGACTCAAAGTAAAGACTTTACTTGGACATTATAGTTCAGTCAATGGATGTATATATCACCCATTCTTACAGGAAGTGTATAGTGCCGGAAATGATAGAAATATCCTTTTATGGAGTGCTGATACACAGGGACTAATATATGATGAACACACGAAATCTCAAGTGCCTGTGAAGTCAGATTCCTTGAGATCTGTTTATTACAAGAAAAATGTAACCCTTGATACATGGAGTAGTGATGAAGATAGTTAGGAATGGTGCTTGTGATAAAATCTTTAGAATATTGTATATATTGTGTGGAAAATCAAAATTATATTTACATTGTATTTTGTTATGTAACAGAGGTATACTATTGTGTTAAATAATATATAATTTGCTTCATTTTTTTAGTAGCATGATTTATGTTTCTTGTGGAAATGCTAGTCTGTTTTGAAAGATACTGCTAGAATGTCTCTGATCAAAAGCACATATCCTTAGTCCATTACTGTAATTTATCTGTGCTTGAATTTTAGTGATTGGAAACAATTGGTTTAAAGGTGTTTCTGTTGATTTTGAAAGGAAACTGTTAATTCCATTTTCCTGAAGATTTCATTTTTTTTAAACATAAGATTTGTAAAATAAATTTAAGAGTTATGTGACAGACGTGTTTATTCCTCAGTTTGTGTGCCCATTCTGTTTTTTGAGTTTTTTTAAAATTTGTTTTTAACTTTATTGTTGTGGAATCTTGTGATGTCAAAATATAACACTTCTAATTATGGTAAATACTCCACTTATTAACCACATTGTGTCTAATAACAATACATGTGACTGCTTCAATTAAATATGATAGCCCATACCTTCCTTTTAATAGTAGGGTTATGTGTTGTTGCTCACAGGTTGAGAAGCGTAACCAACTCTGACAAAACCATTATCATCTTCTATGTGATCTTGCCTAATCTTAGCTTATGCAGCAGCATTTTCTTTTGAAGAGCAGAGTCAGGTGCATAGGGCTGATTGAACATCCATTATCATAAACAATATTTTTGATAGTACTGATCAAAATTTCAGAGAATTGTTGACAGTAAAATTATTACTGTATTTGCCGGTGGGTAAGATGCACTTTTATTTTAAGAAAGGTCTCTACAACAGTGGTGTAATGAATGTCAAATTTACTTTTTTTTTTCTTTCTTTTCCACAAAATGAAAAATTAGATTGAGTGTGTTATATATGCCAGCAAGTATGGTATATTTGTTATGAATTGGAGTAAATTATATACTTATTATTGAATTACGTATTTCAAAATTAAATTTAGTTTTTCTTTAATTTCTTATTAATAAGTTGGTCAAGAAAAATTACAAAATATAATCTCTTTATTGTTGCAGATTCATTTACATTAATTCCTTTATCTCATAGAATTTTTGTGTGAATTTTTATCCTATTTAATTCACCTGCATGCACAGATATCAATATTGTAAGTGAAAATGAAGCTAATAGAGAAAGGACTGACGTAGAAACTCCAGGTAAGTAGAAATTCAGGAACTTAAACGTTAAAATCACATTGAACAAAATGCAATGCAATGTTGAGAATATTTAAGGGCTTTTTATCTTACAATACTTCAGTACCCCAATCAAAAATAATTTTTGCTAAAACCTCTATTGAAGAAAATTGTGTACAATACCATCTGAAGAAAAAATTTGAATTCACAACATAAAAAATATATTCAAGTATAGTAACAAATAAAAATGTGTGTGTGTGTGTGTATATATATATATATATATATATATATATATATATATATATATATATATATATATATATCACAAGAGTATGATATCTTTCTATATTAACAATTTTGAGCGATTTTTGAGGAAGTGTTTGTGCAATACGCGTTTTCATTTTGTTCAGTTGATATGTTAGTCTGCACATCTAACATTAGCAAGCTTCAATGCTACGTGAAATATTATTTAGGATTTTGCGTTGTATGACGACGTTCTCGACCGTCTCATTACAGCACTTTCCTACAATTTCACATTAACAATTTGCTTCTCTTATTTCATTTATCCTCATCTATTCGCGATCCTACAAAATAAGTTATTACTGACGGAGATAAATATGCCCCTTTTCTATTCCTTCTAAACGTGAAGTCCGATCCAAAGAAATGAATCTCTTTTGCTGATGTTTCCGCCCCAATTATTACGCCCGGATAGCAAAAATCAACCAAATTCCTCACATTATTTGCTTTATTTTAGAAACGTTTACAGTTAACCTGCAGGGGCACATAACTCACCCATAACCGAAGCTGTAGTTGGACCTTAGACCTCTGTGCCATCGCTGCCGTCAACGGGGCCAGTCCCTCGCCCCCCTTGTGGCATCTGCCCCTGTGTTTAGGTCGAGCAGAGGGCGCGAGGCCGACGGACCATCACAACTTCAACGGGCGCCTGCAGGTCTCAACAGCTCTGGTGGAGAGACCGTCGAGCGCCGCAACGCCCTCCGGACGCCCAAGCGCCCGCTCCGAGGTCCTCCCCTTCCGATCCAACAAGATGAAACCGATTTTCTTCGCCACCCAGTCCATGTCGCGATTTATCCAAGCGACTTAACGAGATCAAACATCCCGGCGACGTATAACACCACATGCGGGCGGACGAAAAGCACTTTCAGTTGCCACACCATCGAAGATGTAGCCCAGGAAGTGGTAAAATGGTAGACATCTTTAATTGTTGGGGCCTCCGTGAATGACAAGTGTGGAGCTCCGCACTGATTCCGGGGTCGCATTGTGCATTGAGATTCGCGTCACTCACCCCACCGAATACAACACACTTCGTGGGACACGGCGCCTCTCGATTCTTTGTTGCGGGCACTGCTGGAGCCCTCACAGCAGATGCAAATGTTGCTGTTGCCGCTGCCCCCGTGGACACCGCGTTCAAGGAACTCGTCGCTGCTTCCTCCCTTCCAGTCGTAGCTCCACCCCTCCACTTTCATCTCGCACTGCGATAGTCGTACAATTGATTTCACGCTGCTCTCAGCCTTAATAAAGACAGAGCCATTTATTGGTGTGAATACACCCTACTGCAGAATTTCTTTCACGCTACGAATGAAATTCTGTGATGCAATAACATTTCTTTTAGAAAAAAGTATTTGCCATGACTTGTGCACATCCCTCGTACGTATGTACACACACACACACACACACACACACACAATTATATAAATATATATATATTATATATATATATATATATATTATATATATGTGTGTGTGTGTATGGTAGTATGTATTATGATAATATATAAATATTATATAATATATATATATATATATATATATATACATACATACATACACACACACATATACATACATTGAGTGTATGTAGTCCAGCGATATTAATGTGACCACCCGTCGAAATCACGAATAACCCCTTTTTGCTGTGCTGACGACTGCGAGACGTGCAGGAAGAGAATCAATTAGATTCTCGATGGTACCTACCGGGATGTGGAGTGATGTCGACTCCAGTGCCGTGGCCATCTGCCCTGTGTTCCTCGTTTTGTTTGTTCCACGGCGCGAGCAGCCCGATCGAGATGGTAATACAGATTATATATTGGGTTTAAGTCGAAGAAGTTTGGTGGCTAGGTGAGCATTACAAGCTCATCCCGGTGCTCTTCGAACCATACACGTTGCATTGTCCTGCTGGTTGAGTTGCTATCTTGCCGAGGAAAAACAATCTATCTATAGTGGACGTGGTCTTCAAGGATGGTTGCAGACTTCTGTTCTATTGCGTCTTTAAGAATCACGAGATCACCCTGGACTTGCCACATTCCCCACACCATCATGCTCCATCCTCCGGCCTGGACCCGTCCGGCGATTGTTGCAGGGAGTATACATTCAAAGGCTTCACGCCGCCAAGTATTAGGAGCAGAAAACACGAATCACCAAAAAATGCCACCTGACGCTACTCAGTGGCCGTCCAGTTGTGGTATTGGCGAGCAAATTCCAGTCTTGGTCGACGATGAACAGCAGTAAGTATGGGTCCATGAACCAGGTGCTTTCTGCGGATGTCCATACGCCGTACCTTCCGCTGAATGGTTGTTGAGGAGTCCCCCTTTTGGTACCCCTTGGTTTATGTGGAGAGTAAGTTCCTCTGGCCGTACTCAACTCCACAGCCGTCGTTCCCCCTGTCATCTATGACCTTTGGTGCTACACAATTGCCCCGGTAAATTGCTCCGTTTTACATTGCAAAAACTACTGCACTATTTTCTTCTTCCACCTGACACGCTTTATATACCTTCCTCTGTTAGTGCTGCCACCTGCCGTCTGTAAGAGATAATTGCTCGTTTACGAGGAACATGGGTGTCGGTCGCATTAATGTGACTGGACGTTGTGTATTACTGTGCATCTGTTGCATGGTAGTACTCACATGTGTTTTTAATTTGACAACAAATTTCAAATGTTAATTGAAAGTTTTTACTTTCATCTATACGAACGTATGTACGGAGTAATATAGGCAGTATTGAGAAAGTCATATGTGTTTTTCATTAGCCCAGGGTCATCTTCAAAATTTTCTCAAAAATGTCTCAAACTTTTTCTTTAATTTTTTTGAAATAATAGAGTAAAATTCACTACTAAAGATGGCATTGATCCGATTTTCAGCTTTAACTCTGAATTTTCGAAAATTTCAAATTTTTTCGTGCGTCTTCCTTACAACCACAAAATTGAAGATTGTTTCTTCAAATAAAATTTGTTCTCTATATTCAGTTCTTGAATTAAGGTCATGTATACGTTTTTGGCAATTTTAGTATTTTTCGCGCAATATTGCGAGTAATATGTGTAATTAAAAAAGCAAAATTTCTTGAAAACGACTTTAATTTTTTCTTTAGACTTTACGCAGAGATAGTGCTAAATGAAAGATACAAGAGGACATTAACGCCATATTGCTGTATTTGTTTTTTCAAGAATTACATTAAAATTATTTTTTTAATTCTCATGTCTCTCTTTACTTCTAGTTGTCTCACGCGTCGTTAATATTTACATTAGCGGCTATTTGTTTACATTATTATACTTATGAGTAGGTGTGTTTCAAATAATGTGATATCAAGTTTCTCGATCACTCAATAGTTTTCTCTTAAAATGAGTTCACCTTCCGCTTTTTCAGAAACACTTATCCGCAAGTTTCTCAAAAACGGCTTCAATTAGCTCTTCAAACTCTACAATGGATAGTACAGTTTGCACTGTTTAATAAGATATAAATTTATTTTTGGTGTATTTATTTGTTTTTTTTTAAATAACACGATTGTAATATTTTTAAATATCTCTCACGCCGTTGATATGCACATTTCCAGCGCACTATTGCATTTGCTAGTTAAAATGCTTCAAATGACATTTAACAAAGTTTATTTGTTGTATTTATGAGTACATGCGCTTTAAATAATGCCATATAAAGTTTCTAGAAAACTCAACTATTTTCTGTGATAATTTGCTCAAAATTCCGCATTTTCAGAAATGCTCAAACACCATTTTCTCAAAAACGGCTCCAATTTTTTTCTTCAAACTTTTCGTACTGTTAAGATGACATCAAATTCATTTAGCTGTAGTCATTTGTTTATTCCTAAAAAACATACAAAGAAACATGTATATTTTTGTAAAATCTCTTATGCCGTTAAAATGCACATTTTTGGCAATTTATATTCATTATTGCATTTGTAAGTGCTTTAAATGAGTTCACGTTTTTTTTCAACACAAAAATTTCTGTGAAAAAGAGCTTCTAATTTTGCATTTACAGTGGCGTTTAAACGTCATTTTCAAAGTGCTTCAAATATTGGACCGCACATTTTCATATAGGGCGAGATTTTACTCTTTAAAAATTTAAAGTTAATATTTTGAATCTGCCGATAGGAAACCGAAAAATTGAGAAAACTTTAAAAAATGAACTTTGGGCGGCGATTGATAGCAGCTGGCAAGCGTACGTGCCAATTCCAAAAACTAGCCCAGACCAAAGAAAATTGAATACTAGTACGAGAACGTCTGTGCCATTCTGTAGCGCCACTGGTTGTGAAATAAAATATTTGCAACTTTTAATGAAATTATTATTCGTCAGTGGCTTGCAGCTTTATGCTGCTTAACAAAACCACTTAAAAAGTTCCCCCAAAGTAGCATGCACACTTTTCAAGAATAACAGAAGAATAAAACTCCTATATTACAATATATGTGAACGAAACCTATCTTGGTGTAGTATATACCATGTTTAAAGTAAAACAGTTTTTTATAACAAAGTAGTTAAAAATATCCTTTTTTATAAAGCAACTTGTGATCAGCAGATTATGGTGATCTGGCTCTTCCTTAGAGCGTTGCTATCGTATGTTAGCTGTGTTGTAAACACTGACCGCTGAGTACGAGAATGCGAAGTTTGAGATTAGGCGGAAAACAATTCAATATTTGCATTTTTCAGTCAAAATGGAAATTATGTTTTATTTTTGGATTTTCCCGAGATCTTGGGTGTCTGACTCTTCGTACATGCTTCTCACATGGCTGAAGGCTGCAAGGTTTTCTTTGAATTTCTGTGTGCATTTGAAGTTAGTAAAATAGATTTGTGCCGTTACTTACGCAGTCGAAAAAATATTATAAATATCTCCGAGCATGGAGGGTGTGCTAAGCGCATGCTTTTCTGATTACTCGCCATTACACACCTCTATTTTATTTTTACGTGAGATATTGCCAGAAAATAAAGATTATCGACATGTCTCCAATTTCTGATTTCAGTTCTTATTCCACTTTAAAACTTGGGCGATTTTCTAGTATACACCCAACAATTTGCCTGCCATGATTTGCGAGTGCAAGAAAATCGTCCGGGAAATTGTTGTCTGCAGTGAACCTTTCTTTTAGCATCAGTCGAAAGTATTTGAATATTGCCGCGCGGTCGTTACTTTCATATTCTTCCTTAAAAATTTCTTTACTCTTTGAACAATGACACTTGACTATCGGCAAGCGGGTTACCATCGTTCGATCGTGCTCGGCTCTTGTCGGTCGGGGATCGTTCGTCTCTCGTCTTTGGAATCGTCTGGTTTGTGGATAGTCTTACTCGTTTTGTTCTGGGTTGGAACTTCCCTTTTGGCGTACGTGAAATTATTCGTCTTCCGTAGTTTTTTAAACTCAAGATACGCCAAAAATGCCAAAAGGAAGAGGTAAAGTATTGGCTCTGCAAGTGTCTGTTTGCTTTACGATCGAGAACAGTTTCTTTGTTGTTCTGCAATATTCTAAGCACTAAAGTTGCAGCAAAAAGTTGGCACGTGCATGTACAATATTGAGAATTATCTCGTTATCGGGGGTAGGAAAGGTTTTTTACTTTTTCAACCGCAGGACCATAGATTGGTGGTTTCCGTAGAACGTTCCATTTTTTAACTCTGTTTAGACGAATAGTTCTTTGGATTTCGATGATTAATTTTACTCATGTTGATCTGTTCCCTAGTTTGTAAAACGTCAAGCTGAAATCATCGAAATTATGTTGGAATTTGAGTTAGACGCGAACGGAAGATCGTAAGGTGCAGTTTCTAAGAAGGCCCATTATTGCTTTCGAATACTTGCATGAATTATTTTTCTGTGATTACACATATTGATATCTACTCGTCTGCACGAATATTGAAAAAATCATAATTTCAAGCAGTTGAAAAATTTGCTTATTTATTTAAATACTAGGAAAATTGTTCTTTGGAAATTGTATCCACTAATACTATGAAGGTGGTAAGAGTTGGTTGTGCCATATATTTAATTCAAGAAATTGATTTCTTGCAGGAAAAATGGTGAATCATAAGGGCAAGCATCGCCGCTTCACTAACCCTGAAGAACTAGAAGAACAAAAGAAAAGGGAAGAGAATGAAAAGAAATGGAGAGTATGTATAAATATTTGTACAGTACATGTGTATTACTCATTAAAATGAAGGTTGTGTGCAAGAACAAGGTAACCCACAATTTAAGCTTGATGAGAAAAGTGATGAATAGGGCCCCAGGAATCTGTGGTGCTTTTGACAATTATTATTCTGGATAGTATTGTTAAGCGAATATAAAAAATCAAATTTTAGCATTGATTATTTACAGAATAAGTATTTTCAAAACCTGTTCCATGTGGGTTACCATGTTCTTGCCTATGGGTTTCGGTATGTACAGTGTATGTACACGAGCAATATCATCTTTCTAGTATCTCAATATTTTCTGAAAAATTTAAATGTAATAACTTTCTTTTTTTCTCTTTGCAATGTGTGTCCAGTAGCTTTAAATACTTACATTTTTTTAAGAAATTTTGTTTTTTGCTATGAAAATCAATGAATTTAAATTTTGATTCTGTCACTTGTTTTTTCTTGTTTCACTGTGTTAATTTCGGCATATTGTTCAAGTATTGGACATTTGCTGTAATAAGGACTTCAAGTACAGCGTGGTGTATAGTGATCGACAGTAATATCATTCTTCTGTACTTGTGCAGATGCTCAGAACTGATGTGCAACTTAACCTGTGCATGTGCAGAAGTTCATTGTTGTGTTTAATTGCAGTACGCTATGCTGTGCTTAAAGTTCTATTGTTCATTTGTGGTACTTTGTCTTTCTGTTTCCAGACTATTACTTGCAGTCTACATTTTCAAATAATAAAGTTCTAAAGGATTTAACTAATTCTATTAATTTGAAAATATAAAAATTTTCAGTTGTTTAGGTAATTGTATTCTGAGAAATGGATTCGTTTCTCTCCATATATATAAAAATACTTGTTATGATAGGTACTTATTTAAACTTATGAGTGCTGGCGGTGGGTTTTTAAAATTAAATTAGATTTATTTGTTGTGTTTTTATGTGTTGGTTTCGGGTTGTAAATTGTCAGTTGACCAGTCAGTAGTTAAAATTATTATTATTGTTATTATTATTTTTGAGTACCTATGTTCATTTACATTTACCGTGTTACTCTGCTTTTTTCATGATCAGTTAGTTCTGTTACAAGTATGATACTTATGTTTAGTACTTTTACACAAAATAACACTTGTGTACAATATAGTATCGTAGGCTTTCACGGTCGGAGTCAATAGAAGGTAGATTTTCTGGGCTGGTAGGATCCACTGGACCACAGCCTACCAGCCCGAAAAATCTACCATCTATTGACTCCGGCTGTGAAAGCCTACGATACTATATAAACCGCCTCTACGGGGAGGAAACTCACAAACTTATACTGGACCACGGCCTACCAGCCCGAAAAATCTACCTTCTACTTGTGTACAATATTTTGTCTCAAAAGTTTAGATTTAAATATAATTTAATGTAATTACTGTGGAGTTCTAAATCAAAGGACAGCATTTCTTTATTAATGTTGGAAGATCAGTGATTTTTATGTATGAATCTTGAAGTACAGGTGTGATTTATTGTTCAGGCCAAGTAATTATTTGGAATGTTTCTGACATTGCTTCGACAGTAATGTTGGCTGGCTGCCAGATCAGCCATGAGTAATTGAATTTGAGAAAGTAAAAACGGGCATGTAATTATCTGTGGAAATAATTTTCACTGTATTTAAAAAAAATTTAAGAATGTAAAACAAGTTTCCATTAGTTCTTTACGAAGGTTTTTCCAAGTTACATATTTTATTTGAAAAAAAATTCAACATGTAATAAATGTGAATTCTTGATTATTTTGTGACATATCTTAATGTTTTCTTTGTGTATTTTTGAACCATGCCAAATTGTTTTTTTTTTAGGAAGCTCGGGGTGATGCATCATCTGGAGATGAAAGTGGGAAGGCAGAGGATTCAGAATCTGAGTCAGAGGAAGAGTCTAGTGAGGAGGAGGAGGTAATATTTCTTGTGTTTGTCCCCAAATTAATTAAGTTGATGTAACTCTAACATTTCGAATTGTTCAAATTGTTATAGACAAAAGCAAAAGGAGTAGAAGGACTAATCCAAGTAGAAAATCCTAATAGAGTCCAGAAAAAGACTAAAAAGCTTACTGCAATTAATGAAATAGTGAAAGACTCAACAAAACCTGAATTATCCAGGAGAGAAAGGTACATTTGTAAAAAAAAAAAAAATAATAATAATAATAATTAGGAACTAAGGTTGTTAAAATATTGTTTTAAGTATTAGTGAAATCTTACCTTTAAACATGTGTTATTTTATTGAAAAATACAGAGAAGAATTAGAAAAGCAACGAGCACATGCAAATTATCAGCGTCTACATGCTGAAGGGAAAACTGAGGAAGCTCGAGCAGACCTTGCTCGGTTAGCTATAATAAAACAACAGAGGGAGGAAGCTGCGAAACGACGTGAAGAGGAAAGAAAACGTAAGATTCACTATTTGGTTCCTGGTAAAGCATGTAAACGAATTGTACAGATGGGAAAATTTCTCTTTTTGAGGAAAGTTTGGCTTTGCATTTGCAAAGCTTAGCATTTTGTTGGGATCCTGGCGGAATATACAATAAGAGGCGAAACTAGTGTGGCACCATCTTCGGTAAAGTTCATGTTTAAATTTACATTTCTGCACTTTCATGGCCAGAAGGAGTTCTTGATTTTCTGAGATTAAAACATTAAGTCAGTTGACATTTGATCAGCCATGATACTGCCATCTAATTTAATCATTCAAGCTCCTGATTGGATTACAGCGTCACAGCTGATCGAATATCAACTGAGTTAATGTTTTAATTGATATAGTTGTCAGCTGTTCTGCTGAACTGTACCGAATGTGCTTTTTGGACATCCAATTTAGATAACATCCTAAATGTGATGTTTATGTTATAATAGGTAATTTACTGTAAAATTTGTGAAAATATGGTGAAGAATGTAGAACAGTTGTTAACAACAACCAAAATTAGTCCAATTCATTAATGATGCCTTTTATTTTCCATTTGCAGAGAAAGAAGCAGCTAGACAGTCAAAGACTGCACAAATGCAGAAGGCCTTGGGTAAAAAGACGACTTGACTGCAACAATCACTTATCTCGAATGTTTGTTTAAATTTTATACTATAATTTCTTTGCATCATCTGTACATTGCTGAATAATGATTGCTTTTGTTTTTTGTATCATCTATGCTGTGAAGCATTTTTAAATTATTGAAACTTAACAAATGTATTGATGCAATGCAATTGCATTGGTTCAGGTTGTTGATGTGGGTCTTCATCCCTCCCGTGGCTGCAAGCTTAGTTTTTGGCTTGCTAAAATATTAACTCATTTCCTTTTTATTGAACTATCTAATGAAAAATATTCACATATGAAAAAATATTCGATTAACTAATTTTGCTCCAAACGCTAAATGTTCAGACCCTTTCAAGGAAAATAGTAGATCTGTCTTAATGTCCAAGCACGACTCATTTTAAAAAACTTTTTTTTCCAAGATATCTCAAAAACAAGAAAACTACAAACAATACAATTAACATGTTGGATAAGTGGATATATGTCTGAATGTTATACATTTCCAATGTTCTAAATTATAATTTACATGCCGTTGTGAGCTGCTATGTTGTAATTTGTACAAAGATATGAATAAATTAGAATATACTCCGAAGGAGAATTTTGTTGAATTGATCTAATATGTAGTAACTTTTTTCTTACTATGGTTTCTTAACTTTCTAGGATATAGTACATTAAGATATGCAGAAGACAGTGTGCTTTATCCTTGAAGATATTTTTGTTTGTTTTCTTTGTTCCTTTTGGGTACATAAAGAATTATATGGTAATTACCCAATTCAATTTTTTTTTTTTGTGCACAAATAGATGATTTTTAGCATTTATTTCAAAACATCACTTTTTTTCTTGTATTTTTTTCTTTGATACCCAACATTTAGTACTTTCTTACCTTTTGCAATTGGTTAGGTATGTTATAATCTTGATAGAGAATTCATATTGCATTTAAATTTGTTTTCATTGTAGGAAAGAAGAAAGATAATTGTTTTGTCAATTTTCAATATAATAAAAGTTCACAGGTCAGTGGTCTTTGCCATTTCCTTTCTCACAGAATTACTTTGACACTTGTTTCTTAACTCTGACAAAAATGGAGTTTGGAGTAACTTTTATGTGGTTGAAAGTGTGTTTAATTGTTGCACAAAAGATTTTAGTATTTCTGGAAGTAATCTATTCCCTTAACAGCTTGTTATAGTCAATTGCTTCTTTATTATAGTGAAGTACAGCAGTGAACTGCAGTATTTTGAATGTTAACAGGACAAGGAATAATATCAAATTTCCATGTATTTTGACTGACATGAAATTTATTCTAGAAGCCAGTTGACCGATAAACTTTTAAATCTATGAAAAATCTGTTTATATTTTTGGAACCTAGAGAATGCTTTGAAGATCTAAAACATATAATTTAATATTTTTTAATTTAATCAAGGCAGGTTATTGGGGGTTGGGCATTGGAAAGAATTGTTCTATAGTTGGCAACATTTTGAAAAATATATTTCTATCAGGGCTATAATATACAAGATCAAAAAGCTAACAGTAGCAACATGTTAATTAAATGCTTAAGCCTACTCTTTCTCATACAATTACTGTAAACAATATGGAAGGAAATAATAAATAATTACAACACTTTGCTACCACAAAACAAAAAGAGGAACTGAAGCTATATATTTTGCTTTTGGTATACAATGTTATAAATACCACTAGCAAAAATGGTTCAAACTAATATATTCATTGTTAATGATGAATTTTTGAAAATTACAATAGTTAAACTTTTTGATGTCTTCCTACAGTTATGACATTACAGTATTGAAGATGGACATTTTTTTCTTCAAATGAAATTTGTTCTTAACAATTATTCTTTAATGTCATAAACATTTCTTTGAAAATATTTTTGCAATTGTAATTTTGAGTGAATTTTTGTTTTCAACTCGAGTGGGCAATTCAAACAAAACAAAGATTTTATTAAAAATGGCTCCAAATATTTTCTTTAAACCTTTGTAAGGATAGTGCTAAATGCGCTAAATAACATGACACTTCAATGTATTTTGTTTTTTCAAAAATACATGGTTTGTTTATACTTCTTACTTTGTTAATTACCAATTTTGCAAAGAAATTATTCATGCAGAATTTACATTCTTCAATAAGGGACCAAAAAATATGTATTGTGATAAAATACATTACCCTCAAAAATATCCCATGAAAGTAAACATGAACAAACTGTACACAGACTCCTATAGAAGAACCATCTGTTCCCAGTTGAACAAAAAGGATGTCGTAAAGGTTCTTATGACTGTAAGGAAATCTTGTTACTAAATAAAGTCATCGTGAATCGTGTAAGGAAATGAAAGCATAATTTAAGCGTGGCTTGGATTGACTACCAGAAGGCCTTTGATGTTTTACCTCACGATTGTATTTTAAGACCCTGGAGATGTATTGGTTTCATCTTAGACTTATTGAGTTCTGCAAGGCTCGTATGAAGTCATGGTGTTCCAAGTTACTGATACACAGCAGAAAGGAAGTAGTAAAAGTTAGAAGTATTCATATTAACAGAGGAATTTTTCAAGGTGATTCACAATCCCCTCTGCTGTTTTGCATTAGTTTGATCCCACTATCTAGATACTTGTTGCAAGCTGACTTTGGTTACAATCTCCATAGTGATGAAAGACCAGTACCAGATCTGTTTTACATGTATAATCTTAAAGTATTTGCTACGATAAAGCGATTCGCACCCAAATGCTGTCATCTACGACATCTGCATGAAGTTTACTCTTGACAAGTGTGCAAAAATCAACTTAAACGCACAATGACAACGTTAGAGAACATTGAAGTTTGCAAGCTGTGATTCAAGATCTTCAGCCAGGTTAAGCTTATAAATATCTGGGCATTGGAGAATGTGAGACCATCTCGAACGACAAATGAAAGAGAAAATTCACAAGGAGTATTATAGAAGAGTGAGATTTGTCTTGCAGGCTTCTCTGAAGTCCAGGAATAAAATATCTGCAAAAGGTAGTTTCGCAGTGCCTGTAACCGAAAACAGTTTCGGACTAGTGGACTGAATCGAGCAAGAAATACGCATCATAGATCGAAAAACCATCAAGATGACCTAGTGAAGTAGGTCATCAAATTGACATCAAAATGGGAAACAGGCATTGTAAGTGTAGCAAGAACCATTGTGTACAAAACTGCAAGACACGTAGAATAACCCAGTCATTGAACTTCTGATGCTACTTAATATGGAATGTGAGACACAAAAAAGGTAAAAGAAATCGTGGAGAGACAAACTACTCCGTGGACAGTATCTAACAAGAATGGACAAAGTGCTGATCAATAAAGGTCAATCATTTATGTTGCTTAAAAGGGGAAGAATGAAGCCAGAATCGGAACTTGTAATAGCTGCGGAAGATCAGGCGTTGAGAATACGACATGATGATAAAGCGGTTCTCCCAATTTTCTAAGATGATTTAACTAAGACCGAATTATTGAGAAGACTCGACCTGTGTAGTTACCTCCACTGGCAAATCTGTACCGTTCTCGAAGTTCCAAACACATGCTCCAAGTGGTACAAACACTCGCCAAAACCGATGACGTCTGTTGCACTGTATACCATTCTGTACGACCAACAAATTCTAACTGATTGCACGATTGTGGCAAACACAATATTGTTATCCAGGATTTTGAGAAAAATCATGTCTACTTTTAGATGTTGCTGTGCCGTGTGATCAAAACGTCGTTACCAAAGTGACAGAAACGTCTTAAATACTAGAGTTTTGCAGTCAAGATCAGCCGAATAGGAGGTGTAAAAGCAGAGATCGTCCTGATAGTTATCGGAGCTCTGGGATTTGTTCCACAAAATTTGTGAAAAAAACTTGGCCAAACTCCCAGTTCATTCAAAAGACTGGGAAGTGCACGATATTGATTTATTGGGAACAGCCCACATATTGCGCAAAGTATTGTAGAGGCACTGGCAGTCCCTAGAACTGCTCCTTATGTAGCTGGTTGCAACCTGGAGTAGAATTTATATTCAGCCAAATTAAGTCGTGAAATAGGGAAATAATAATAATAATAATAATAATAATAATAATAATAATAATAATACGTATTTTTTGCGAGTCTTCTGCGCAACCACTTAAATATCTTTAAATTTCCATACTTGTAATTGAGTTCGGGCGCAAATAATATTAAGTGATTTTAACGTTACACATACAAGTGTAATGATCATATTAACGAGACGAGAGTGAGCTACGCATAGAGTATGAATGTATTTTATTGTCTTTTTCTGAACTTAAGAGCTAATGTGATTTAAAGAGAGCCTTCATTTCGCGAAATGTCAGAAGTAATCTCTTATAACTGAATGCCTCAATTGTGAACAACAAAATGGGAGACTGGTGCACAGTCTTAGCTTAAACGGATCTCCAAGTCGTCGACATGTTGGTAACGTATTAGATGCAAGAGTAAGTGTAAATGTGTAAGGGAAGAAGAGGCAAAGATGAGGATGAAGATCGCGTGCGGTCCGTGCCCTGTTTGTTAACACATTGCTCCTTCATTCTTCTGTTATTGATTGAAAAAAAAAAAAAAAAAAAAAACTACTGTTCGGAGCAGCCAATCGCTAGATTGATCTCATCAGATTTGTCTTGGAGGATTCAGGTGGTGGTTGAATTCTACCCATGCCGACAGAAAAAAATTCGAAAATAAAATGTTCGAAAATTTTATTAATTCAAATATTTTGACGTCTTCCTACAATTAAAATATTGAAAATAGAGATTTTTCCCTTAACGACAGGGTTAAAGATATGTCTTGAAATAAGGCCATGTTCAGTTTTCGAAAATATGAGTCGATTTCACAAAATTTTGCGTGAAATATAGTCAACACATCTCAAAACGGCTCCAATTTTTTTCTCTAAAGCTCATCGTGTACAAAAGGACGTTAAAAAAATGCGCCAGTCCCATTTTCGGCAAACTCTGTATTTTCAAAAATTAAACTTTCAAAAAGTTAAAATTGCAAAAGTGTAATATTGAAGAAAGAGATATTTGTCTTAAACAAATTTGTTCTAAAAATTGGATTTTAGAAAAGTGCATGAACAATTGTTTGACGAAACCAGTGATTTTTGTGTTATTTCCGTTCGAATGTAAATTATAAAAAAAACTTTTCAAAAACAGCTCCAAATTTTTTCTTCAACTCTTTCCCTCGAATAAAACAAGGTACGCTTAAAAGAATGACGCAGGTCTACTTTCCATTGAATTCTCTGAATTTTCGAAAATTGCAAATTTAGACATAATGGTAGAAAGTATGTGCTGCTGTACCGCCATTGGTTTGAATGATGTGGTCTGTCGCCTTGAAACCCCCGTACAGGTGTGCAGCGTATTCCTGAGGATATGTTTATTATTATTCGAGTTCGGGAGCCTTATAGCCATATGAAAGTGGATGACTAATAGTCAGTTGATTATGATGTTATGATGTGAATGAGATGGAGGAATGATGGAATGAATGTCAGGAGAAACGGGAGAACAACAAATTTCACATGGATCGACCGGTAATTAAACGCAACCCTTGTACTCAGAGGCGGCAAGTGTGTCGTCTGACTACTACACCATCGCCCTGCTACTCGGCTGGGAGTACCACCTTTGTGAATAGTGGTATGATGACAGGCGATGACGCACCCTCGGCTAGAAAAGACTCGGCGAAGCTTCGGCAGGCCGCGAGTGGGCTGGGAAGGGAGAGACAGAGACAGCCGGAAGGGTGAAACTGCGTTTCCCAGGGCGCCTACGGTTAAATGCGAGACGTGCAAACATTGAGTCTCTGCCCCCTCCTTGACTGTCAAGCTTAAGTTGAAACGCTTGCTCAGACTATTTACTCTAATAATACTATTCCCCAATCGATTTCAACGCACTCGAGACCCTGCATGATTCAAACGGATATTTTGATTTTGGAGGAAGAACCTTCAACATTTTCAAACATGTCGGAAAAGTAGCTCCAGCTTGTTGATGTGAGTGACCCTGGGAGCCCCTTGCGAGGACCTGTGAGGTTGTGACGGATATTTTTATTATTAGGGGTATTTCACAAGGAGCCTCAACATTTTCAAAATTTTCGCAAACGTAGATCCAGTTGGTTGATAATTTTTTTTATCGGGTAGCACAAAATACCCTTAAAAATGGTGTAAATATCATTATCGTTGAAATCCTTGAATTTTCGAAAATTGTAAAGGTTAAAATATTCGGCGACTTCCTACAATTACAATATTAAATATTTATATTTTTACTTTCTCGTATTCGTAGGAGTGATATACGAAGTAGAGAGAAAGTTATGTGCTGCACGAAGAAACGGCGGATTTTCAAAAGAAAACTAGTCATGCTACAGAATGGCACAGACGTTTTCGCATTAGTCTTTTATTTCCCTAGGTCTCAGTTAGTTACGCGGACTTGCCATATTCTCTTGATAGCTGCCACTTATCGCCGCCCAAATTACATTACAAAAAATTCTCCAGTTTCCTGTTTCCGACTAGTAGAACTGAAAAATTACTTTAGAGTATTGAAGAAGAGTGAATACGCGTCCTAAATGGCCATTTTAATTCAAAATGGCTATTTTTATTGAAATGGCTTTAATCGTTACTGTAAATATGAAATTTGAAGCTTTTCGTAGAAATTGAGTTTTGGATAAACTTCATTTTCTTACGAAAGTTACATTTGTGTATTTCGTGAAAAAAAACAACAAAATAATACAGTAAAATTAATTTAATTTTTTATTGATACATTATAGCTTGTTTTTGCCTTTTTTAGGAA